CCACAGGCCAACTCAGAAGTATGTTTCACCAGACAACATCGCTGCACCTATCAGATCAGCTCTCAAAGAAGTGAAAGGATGGAAGGATGTGGTTATTAGACCTTTTGACAAAGGGGTAGGATTCTTTCTTCTTGGAGAGGAAGAATATGTTCAACGAATAGGTGTACATTTGAATGATAGATCTGTATATAGTATTGTAAATAATGTAGATGATTTAGTTTCAGAATTAATTGATAAATTTCATGTTGGACAGTCAAGTATAAAGAAGAATTAGGTATGTCTAAGAAGGTCAGGGAGTGGGTTATTCCGTGTACGGAGCTCAACCAGCCTGGTAATATGTACCTGGATCCCAAGGCCCACAAGCCACCTTTGTACCCTGGGAGGATGATTACTACTGAATGTGGTTCGTACATTGAGAACCTATCTGCCTTGACTGCATACGAATTGAAGAAGGCTATTTTAAATTATAGAATTATTGACACCCCTCATTTTCTGAGGAAGATTGATAGCTTGAATGAGTCCACCATATTGTTGGGTAAGGAGGTGATACATGTTGCCATAGATATATCCAACATGTTCACCAATATCCCTAGGGATATGGGGATCAATGCACCAAGCACCTGAATGAAAGAAGTAGTTATGATCAATTGTTCAGTACAGAATGCATTATTAGTGCTCTAGAAATCACTCTTGATTACAACATAGCTTCATTCAACGGTATAACATACCGTCAGGAGCGTGGAGCGGCGATGGGTCATAAGAACTCATGTGAGTATGCAGATTGTGCTATGGATAAGATCGATATTTTAGTTAATGAAAGAGATTTAGAACATGGCCCGCCACACAGACCAGCATTCTGGGGTAGGTTGCGCGACGATATATATATGGCCTGGCCTGGTACTGTTGAGGAGCTTCTACAATTTATGGAATGGCTCAATAGTATCCATCCGGACCTTGTGTTTACTTACGACTACTCTAAGGATGGTGTTGAGTTTTTAGACACATTATTGTAGACGATGCTTTCAACAAATTTAGTGATATAACCAATAGGAAAAACTTGTATGCCTCTAAAAATAAGGATGAGACGACTACTTGTCTAATACCCATGGTGATGGATCAGAATCCAGCACTTCCCAACATGGGGAGCATTATTCACAAGTATAAGCACCTTCTTAATCTCGATCCAGCCTTGAAGAAGCTAGTACGTGCTGACAGTGTATATTTTGTAAGTCACCGAAAGAATCAAACTATCGGTGGCATGCTTGTACACAATAAGTATCGTGCTAGTGGAACTGTAAGCAGTGATAGAGATGGAGAAGCCACTGCTAGTCAATTTCTTGAACCAGAGGCTGCAATATTGCCGGCTGTTCGGGAGGCTGACAACGCAGGGTGACATGCCTGTGGAAAATGCTATGTTTGTAAGCAAAGTTTCCTGTCCCCTTGTTCCAAATTGAGTAGTCACCATTCCAAACAAGTTTTCCCTATTACTAAATATATAACTTGTCAGAGTAATAACCTTATTTATTTAATGGAGTGTAGAACTTGTAAACAGTCGTATGTAGGATATACTACTTCTAATCTCCCTAAGAGATTTTCTAATCATAAGAGCCACATTAAGAAAGGTATCAGGAGTTGTAAGTTAGTAAATCACTTTTTAGATATTGATCATGATTTAGATTTTAGTTCAGTAGCCTTATATAACTCTTCACTTAGTACGCACCTTTCTGTTATTATAGTGGACGCTCTAGAATTTAAACCTGCAATAAGTAAAGCAGATAGGGAAAAGGCCATGGAAGCTAGAGAGGGGTTCTACCAGACCCAATTGAAAACCCTTGGGCGTTATGGGGGTATGAACACCCTCGATAGTAACCACATCCTTTTTAAATCCGCTGGAGCTTAGTGTTTAGTTTATTTATTTTATTTAACATGATCTTAGCCTATAAACCCGTGTTTAGTTTACAATATTGCTATCAGAGACGTGTTATATTCATTACTATTTATATATTTTTATTGCTTGATTCAGAGAAATCTAGCTTTTTCCGAGAAACTAACCTTTAATAGATTAGATAAGATGTACTCAGCCATTCTTTTCGTTTGATTATTACTCAGTATGTTTTAGTTTTGTACCGTTTTAAGTCACATAGTTTTGTACGTCTTCCTAAGACTTGTTTTCCTTTCCTAGTTTGTAAGTTATTTTAAAGATTTGTGTATATTCCAGTTGCTTTTAGAACAATTTTATCTCAGATAACGATGTTTAATAAAATGATGCAAAGAATTTCGAAGATCTAATCAACACCGACTTTTAATGTGTAGGAGTACAGCTACGAAATATATATATATATCCGTACTATTTTACTGACACCACGGCATCAACTTTAACACGAATTTCTGCAAAAACCGTAAAAGATATACAACAAAGATATACAACTTATATTTTTTGACTGGTTCAAATGCTTTCATGGCCTTCAAATCAGCATGAAAAAATTAAAAATTGGCCAAGGAATAAGAATTTTAGTGCCCAAAATTTGGACCCCAAGTGGTGTCAAAAACGCAAATTAAATAGGTAATAGTCATTTTAGTCTCTTGAATCTTGACACACTTGAGTCTTGGTGGCAAGAGATTATTTATAATCTCAGGGAATAGTGATCGTGAAGGCGGTGAAGCCAATAACCTCTCCTATTCCAATGACCATAGTGCGTGATGAAGAATCACATCCTTTTCGAGGTGCTACTATTAAGCATTGTAATCTGTCCTGGGTGACTCCAGTATAAACAGATGACGTGCAACAAAACACTTTGGATCTAGACAGGCAAAGGTCGATAAAAAACCGGGTGCGAGATGCTGGCAATTTCTCCTCTCTAAAAGTTTGCTACTGAAACATTACACACAAATCAAGGACGATGTGCTTATACCTCTGCGAGGTCGGGTGAGACCAGGATGACGGCAACTGGGCAAAGCCTCAGGGACCCCAGTGGCCTGATGAGAAGAGTGGTTGCTCGTCATAACAACAGAGTAATTAGTCAACAGATCGATCATGTTGACACTGATTTCAGCAAGTCCAATCCTATCAACTACAGCAAACACTCAATGTACTTTGGAACCTGGAATGTTTTATCTTTAGTCAGCTCATCTTCACAGCTTTATCAACTCAGTCAGAACATTGATCACTACAGTCTTGATATTTTGGGTATTACTGAAACTCATATGCCAGGATCTGGAAGTACACTTTTGGACAATGGTAGTCTACTTATTCATTCTGGTAGAGTAGATGGCATCAAAAGGCAAGGGGTTGGCCTATGTCTTTCCAAAAAGGTCAGGAACTCCCTGATCTCTTATGTACCTACAACAGAGCGGGTCTTAACAGCTAGGTTACACGGCAAACACCTCAACATATCTGTTGTTGTAGCCTACGCTCCGACTGACGGTGCTGATGACGGACAGAAAGATCGTTTTTACAACGTTTTATCAGACACGTTTGGTAAACTGCCCCGACATGATCTGAAACTGCTACTGGGTGACTTCAATGAAAAAGTTACTTCAAACAGATATGGATTCGAGGGAGTTATTGGTGGAGAATCTCTCCATAGTTCATCAAGCGACAATGGGACCAGGCTCATAGATTTCTGTGCAGCTAATCAACTTGTTATTGGTGGAACTCTGTTCCAGCATAGAGACATCCACAAGGGTACATGGCAGTCTCCCAACGGGTTAACTGTGAATCAAATAGATCATATTTGTATTAGTGGACGATTCTAACACTCGTTACTCGATGATAAGGTATGTCGTGTGGCGGACATTGGTTCATATCACTATCTTGTTCGTGGACGGCTGCAAATCAAACTGCAGTCGGTAGCTAAGATCACTGCTAAAAGGCACGATGTGCCTGCTATCGAACATTTGCGAAACTCGTCTAAGGTTCAAGAGTACAACGTGGCTCTTCAGAACCGTTTTGATTGTCTGGCTAATGAGGTCAACCTTGAGGACATGTGGGATAATTTCAAGCAGAAAGTCACTGATGTCTCGATGGAAGTGCTCGGAAAGCGTCCCCGGAAGGTTAAAGAATAACACCTTTCGCAAACGTGCTAATGGTGCGTTCCATCAGCTTTGGAAGATATGGATAATGGAACAGTCGAACTATAAGAACGCCCACCAAGATCCGTATCTACAAGGCTACTGTTATTACTATTCTGTAATATGGAGCTGAAGTGTGGAACACAACAAAGAAGCAGATGAAACGGTTTGAGGTCTTTCATCTGACCTCCCTGAGAGGAATCTTGAAGATAAAGTGGTTCTTCCATGTCTCCAATGAAGAAGTTCTCAGGCATGCTGGAATTAAGTCTATCAAAACTTTCATCGGTGCGGCTAGACTAAGCGTGGTACGGACATGTTGTCAGAATGCCAGAGACGCGGTTTCCCAATTTCTTACTGGATTGGAAACCAAACTATGGAAAGAGACTGAGAGGACGACCCCGCTAAGGCTGGATGGCCTGTGTACTCGAGGATGCGGCTGAATTTACAGGTGTCGATAACATCAGCAGAGATGCAGTGAAACAGTTGGCTCTAAAGCCGTAGAAGAGATGTGTGTGATACAGGCCACTCCAACGACTAGGAGGAGACCTCTTAATAAGCATGTATGTATGAGTCTTGACACCATTTTACTTTTAGGGTTAGATTAGACGGGTTCCTGCTAGTATATTAAAGTCACCATTGTGACGGTACATTAGAACTAGACAGAAACAAAGTGTGAAGGGCCTGAACGGAACCCCTCGGTTTCAGTTCCTTGTTTAACACTGCCGTACAGCAAGGACATCTACCGGGTTCTCCAAGGATGGGCACATAGCTCACTCTACACATTGCTACACACTATGCTCTCCATATATAACTTTTGGAAACCAAGCGACAGCTATTTATTATCTATACATATATATATGTGTTGCAGTATAGAAACAAAAGAAAATTTAAACGAAGTTTAAGCGTTTCTAAGAAAATTTTATACTTACAGACTGCATAGAGATATCTTTCTGGACTTCTTATGGTGATAATTGAAAATACAACAATTTCACAGCTATAGAATCCATCATCACTATGGTCTGAATTCAAACGTAATTTTTGGTCACTCGAAGTCACTTCAATCTTTGTTTCGTCAAGAAGTGTTCTTTTGTACCATCTGAGTATTTGGATTAAGAATAACACTATTAATATCGTCATTGACAATACTAGTCCTTTGTCTAAATTAACTTGGGTTGAATAATCTGTTACAGTTTTGCTAATAGTATCCCGTTTAGAAATGGAATATGTTCATACCATATTGACGGGTAAGGTAATGGTTATTGGAGATATCTGCAGTATGAACTATGAATAGTTATCTTGATAAAACCGAAAAATTTGTAGTCTCCAATTTGGCTAAGATTTAAATCAGCTGTGACAAACTGGTAAAGAATCGTATCGCCGAAAGAACCAACTCTCTAGCGTACGTGTAACGCGTGTTATTGCAATAATAAGCTGTGGCCTCGTGACGTCATAAAGTCCCTCAGTGCGCGCTTGCATAGCGTAATTTACATTACAAATGTTTATCATCGTCAATAAAACACGTGTAACTCACTCAAATTTTAGAATTATGACTATTACCCTAGTTCTCCAAAATCCTTATAGTTTTGGCTATCATCCTAACTAAAGGAATAGCTGATTGGATGTACAGTGCTCACGTCATGATTTTAAACAGTGATATAGGTTCTTGAACAGTGGCGGGTGAATGTACGGTTAGAAAGTTTCTGCTATTACAACTTATGTCATATGTGATAATTTTGGATTGTTTTCATTGCTTAATTACACAAGCAGGGAGACTGTACCGATTATTTTTCCCCAGTCCATGAAACTCTAACGAATTTAGAAAGGATACAGATAAGTAGGAGTTTGTTCAATTCCGAGAGCAATTATATTTATAGCATAGCGAAATTTCTAACTTTAATCTGCAAGTGTCTGCCAGTACAGGAGACAAGAAGTCTGGCTACTTTACGGCCGTTCCTCTGGGACCATTAGTAGAAGTAGCTTCTATCAGAACAGTGCCGTGGGAACAGAATTCCCGCCAAAATACCCGGTCTACCAAATAGTAAAATTACTGATTGGAGGTGTGTACGGTGTGAGGTGTATTTTGAATTAGACTTCCGGCTTACCTAGTTGTTATCCTAATTCATTGTTATCCTAATTGCATTATCATCGGTGCATAACATAAATAAACTACTGGTAAGTTTAAATACCAAGTGCAAACGTGTTCAGTCGATCGACCCACTGAACAACTATAGAATTTCCAAGACCCTATTATTCTCTGGCCATATATTACGGCACGATCGATTGTTAGATGGCTAAATGACCAACGTTAATCTATACAATTCTAAAACTATGAGCTAGCACTTTAATCTAAAAATACCTTTTTTATATTACTCCTGATTTTTACATTTCACGTAAAACATTGTCGCCAGAGGTTGATCATGGACACTAACAGCTTAATTTGAGATAAATGACTTATGAGTTTCTCTAAAGTTAACTCTAAAGTTGTGTAGTCCAATCATTTATGGACATTTATGGAAATGAACCTGCAAATGTTCTAATACTCACGAAACTTTGCACAGACCTTCCCGAAGTTATGATTAAACGATTTTCGTTTGGAGACATTTTTTTGACCGTGGAGAAAACCCAGGAGGGCCACGCCCATATTGACCCGATAACGTAACCGACCCCTTGCTTCTGAAGGTCGTAGAGACTTCAAAATAGGCTTGAACGAAGCCGCATATGCATGTTTATATAGGAGTTATTGAGCAACACATGGCCTAAAATCCTTACTTTTCGATAAATTCGCCAAAAACCATTTTGGGCGTGGTGCTAAGCCCATTTTCGATATGATCGTGATGGAGTCTTCAGACAGGATGCAAAAGAGCCGCAATTAGCATATTAATATATGACTTACGAACAAACATATGCCTTAGAGTGCTTACTTTTTCAGTTATTGGCGAAAAACTGATTTTCGGTTCCAGAAATCATGCAAAACTATGGGTATCTGGTTAATTGGGCTATGAAGGCCCTAAAGGTTTTTGAATGTGTGCAAATTGTGCAGAATGGCCATGTTTATGTACAACTTATGAAGCAACATGTACCCTAAATTACTTACTTTTCGAGTTATTCGGGGGAAAAGATTGTATTATGTCCATTTTTACCTGTAAAATACAGTCTCACGAGCTACTCTGCGCGCAAGAGGGACTTTATGACGTCATCGCCAAAATAATACAAACGCTATTTACACGCGTTAGAGAGCAGTTAGAGATTTAGGAATTTCGACTCGTTGCTTAGTTTGCTATTTGTCACAATCTGTCAAAATATGAGGATAACTTTTTTTTCAGTTAACTGGTCCTTTAATCACCCAGAAAACATTCTAAGAAACAAACCTGTAAGTTATATCCGTGTTGATAAACAGATCATTCAACCTCGGAATAGCGCAGTTCAAGATCACATCAGACCCCTTTGTCATTCCATATGATCCATTCACTGCAAGCTTGAGGTTATCAGGTAACTTATCTGGGAACATTTCCCACTTATATAAAACACCTGGAGGAATTGTTATTTAATATTGTGCAATGTGCATGTGATAGTAAAATAGTATGATGAAATGTTAGAACATTATAACCATTGCATCAATTCCTAATTGATGACCATACATTATCTTTTCATCAAAAGAACATAACAAAAGTCTTCAATTCTAAACCTGGTTGTGAAGAATAGCATTGCCATTTGTAGGAAGACTTCCAGTTCAGTTGGTTCACCTCACAGTCAGTATCATTAACTTCAGAGAATAATATGCAGGATCCTTCTTCTTCAAACGACTGGTAGGAGAGATGATTGTCTGGCTAATTTCAGGGTCACGAATTATTTCATGATATAAATTTCCGCCCGCTAGGCTGCGTAGATATATACCTTATCGGACCTTATTTGGACGGACATTACTCGGACGTTCATACCATACGTTCATCTTAATTTCCGTTCAAATAAAGTTCGTTCATTTAAGGTGTTATACCTTCTGTATAACAAGTTTTAACTTCTTAACATTAAGCTTAACCACGCTCTCCCATAGTTCAACTGATTAACAGAAGATCACTTTAACAACGAAGTAATACAGCCGTCAACTCAGTGGCTGATTACTAACACAGTCAACGCGTCCACGACTAGGAGCAGGACACATCGCCTGGACACCGGACACCACTCTTATCCCAGCTTATCTGCACTACAACGTGACGTCACAGCAATATCGCAATACGTGTCTAAGCAGACTTCAGCAAGGAGGACTTCGATTCTAGCACGGGAGATTTGCCACGGACTTTACTGAGTTACTGAATAGACTCTTTACTCCCATCTTTATCGTCTTGATATTATACTTATTGTCAACGTTACTTTTATTCGTATTTTATCCAACTGTTTTAATTGTTCAACGTTAGACAGGACCTAAAACTAATAGCCTATAAACGGGTCATTTATAATAAAGGTCCGTCCAAGTTAAAGTTCGTTGAATTTTTTTCAAACATTTTTTTCACTTCGAACTTTTTGTCCAGAATATGACAACTATCATAACGACAGAAAGGTTCTCCAATTGGTCTGCCGGAGGCACTGAAAACTCTACTAGTATATGATGTTTTCAAGGGTCACTTGGCGGAAAAAGTCAACGAAATTATGGCACTCAACAACATAGTTCATGAGCTAGTCCCCGCCAACATGACAAACTTGTTCCGGCCTCTAGATATTACGGAAAATCGTGTTGCCAAGGACATTTTCCGACGTTGTTATCAGTAATAGTTCATATTACTCAGGGGAGGTAATGAAACAGTGCGGGGTAGTTTGATAAAAAAGGTTTCCACTTTCCATAAAGCTAGAAATCACTGATGATTTAAAACCCTTTTCATGGAAATGATATGTGTGGGGCTCCGTGCAGACCAACCTACCTGTGGCTAAAGCTCTAATATACAACAACAAATAACAATACATGTGATATTAGACACTGATCATGTACACATATTTTAACATTTTTACTGCTTAATGACTGCTTTTCTTACTTACTGTATAAAAAATGGATTTAAAAATCTTTTGCTGAAACTTAAAAAACGTCAACAAAATTGAAAAAAATCGGATTTTTGATGGTTTTGGAATTTGGATGCCTTCTAGCGTTCATATTAATGTCCGTTCATAATTATGTCCGTTCATGTAATGTCCGTCCAAATAAGGTCCGATAAGGTATATATGTTTTTATCATTATTGAGGCAATGTGTATGTTTAAAGCTCCAGTTTGGACTCTGACCCTATAAACAGCACCAGTTCACAAGTTGGATAGCATCGCTTTCATTCAGTTTACTTTTGCCAGTTACATAATTTGAAAGCAAAATTTTACTTCTCATGTTATTTAGAAGCCTGAACTAGTGAACTAAACAATTAATTAATTTGTAAATTTACCTCAAAAGAAATACCATTACACTTATCTTCAGACCACATGCAATACATTGCACACGCGTTAAAGTCTCTAGCAGCAAGTTTAACTATCTGTGTTCCACTGAATTTTATTTTGTCCATTTGGCATCTGTCTTCTGGGAGCTCGCATATCGCTAAAGTCAATCCAAGCAGTGCTGAAATAATTCAGTTAAGTAAAAGTAACAAAATTAATAATATGAAACGTTGAGATTGAGGATTTTCAGCAGCTGTTATTCAACATATATTTTAAAACTTTATACTTGTATAGTAGAATAGCATCCGCCATAAAGCTTGTATCATCTCCCTTCACCATTCAATCACTGATTATTGTTAACATCATGATGACTAAAACCTGGTCTTTAAAGTTAAACAAAACATTTATTCAAAAAATTCCAAATTGTTTATTAACGGCCCTTATTTCAGCAACTTGCACTCAACTGCTTAAAAAGAGGGAAGCTCACAATTTTGGCCGTGTAATTTTGGTTGCTCATAATTATGTTATTCGTTATTTCGGAACTTAAGACCAATACTATTTTCAATAGTCTCACAGCCTTTATGCGTACAAGTACTGTACAATTGTCCTATGACTCCCAGGTCAATATCATTACATATTTCGCATATTAATATACGACATATTTCGAAGGAAAACCACGACATAACAAAATTATTGTTAAATTTTGTTACAAATTAATTTAATTTCAGAAATAGTTGATTACAGAATTCCTTGAAAAAAAAATTTTTCAAAAAAATTTCTTGAAAAAATTTTGGGAATATTTTGATATTTTCATGACATCCGAAATCATGACATCCGAAATCTTGACATCATGTCATGATTTACAAATATCTGAGAAAGTTCACGCATATTTTTACCTGTATTTTACAGGCAAAACTTGACATGAAAAACGTCCCCGCATATGTGATAAGATGAGCGCATATTTGACATGGATCTAAATATCTGACGGGGGATATCATATAAAAAATATCCGTGTGTTTGAAAAATTATATCAAAAAAGTTAAGAATTTTTTAATAAATCTTTCTAGGACTCGCCTGTAGCAGGCTTTGTCCCCTGCTAATTTGGATCATTGTGGGGCCCAAAAATGCCCCATCGGGTGATAAAAACCATGACATATTTCACCCAGATATAATAATATACGACATATTTTTAATGATATTGACCTGGGCTATGACTGACACAGAACGTACTGTCTTACTGTAGTACTGTGTAATGATTCGCCGACATTGTTGCGATGGTTCTTAATCTGCACAGTAATTCGTGCTTCGTTTGAGCAATTTGTTCTACTATGCTCTTAATTAGGGCCGTCAATACCAGGTTGTTGCGTTCAAATTAGGCTGGTAAGGTAGTTACTCTGGTCAAAAATTTAAAGGATGTTAATGCCAAGACAAACACTTAAATATGCCAAGAATTCGTATATAGTTCCACGGAAAAAGAACAAGGCTCTGAAACCTGGAGGGGGATATTTAAAACATATAAGTGATACGACAGATTGTATTAGCAGTGGGCTCTGAAAGCAAAGGATTTCTGATAATTATGAACTAAGCGCGGATCAGAAGATTGTAATTTTAGGAGTAAAACAAATATTTTGAGATGATAATTTTCAGCATCTGGCCGGTGCCCCTTTCACTTAAAGATAATCAGTGAGCAACTATAACTTCAGCCGCGAGCAACTATAACTTCAGCCGCGGAGGAGAATCATACATGCAACTGATAGACGATACCACTTAAGGGACCGAAATAATTGGCCATTATAACGCTCATTATCTATTTTCAATTATAAGGGGTCTTAGTTATATGGATCTTTGTCTCGATTTAGAGGGTCGGCTTTAAAAAAATTCAACGCAGGTTCTAATAATTCAAACTTTTGGTATGAATATGAATTATTTTATGTCGAAATTTTAGGACAATAGTTGATAATATCGCACATAAGGAGAGAGTTTTCACTCTTCGGCTGATGAAAGTTTACAACTCTCTAAATATTATTAGACTTAAGTGCTACTACTACTACTACTACTACTACTACTACTACTACTACTACTACTACTACTACTACTACTACTACTTCTACTTCTACTACTACTACTACTACTACTACTACTACTGCTACTAATACTACTACTACTACTACTGCTACTACTACTACTACTACTACTACTACTACTACTACTACTACTAATACTACTACTACTACTACTACTACTACTACAACTTAGTCGAAGGGGCCGGGGAAATCTCTGCAGATGACTGATTATTCATACAGAATCATTATAAAAGTAGCCTTAGCAACAGCTATATAACAACATACTATTAGTAAAGGATTCACTGCTGTAAAGTATTATTTAATTTTATGCGGTCAATGGTAAGTCTCAATAATTTAACAAGTTCGAATGGTGCATGCAATTGGCAAAAATCTCTTACACTTCATTGGCCAAACAAAAATTAAAACTCTTGAGAGCAGGAACGAGTGAAAGTTGAAAACATTTATGACTACATAAAAGATATAAATTAAGCATAATGAACAAAAATTTACGATCACAAGCACGATATTCGAATAAATATTATTAACGATAGTTTAAAATTCGAATAGCAGCAGGCATTACAGAATGTTTTGTCTTGTGGTGAAGGTAGTTTTAACGTCATATTTAGGGAGAAAACAATGACTATTTCACAAAGCTGGAACGTGAGCGATTTAATTAGTGTAAAAACTTGGTATACTCGCAATTGTAATATTAGTATTTCAATTAAATCACCGTGCGATTATTTACCGAAACTATAAATTATCTCGGCTTCTGATTGAGATACAGACCTTAATTATGAACCAAAATGTGCCTAAGATGCATATTTATATTAGTGATATGAAGATACTTAAGACCTAAGAGACTTAGTTTTTGAGAAATCGTCAAAAATCCGATTTTACTATATTAGCAGTCTATAGTGAGTAACAATTATTACACTTATTTCAAGATATCTCAGCTTCTGATTGGATCTAAGCGCTCATCTTGGGCATTAAAATGGTCAGAATCATCACAATGAGTGGGGTAGAGCATGGTTTTAAAGTCTTCAGACTTCAGGTTGTTGAGTTATTAGGTCAGATCTCATTTTTATGCTCTCGCGAGTAGCGATTGATGCACATATTTCAAGATATCTCAGCTTCTAATTGGATCTAAGCGCTCATCTTGGGCATCAAAATGGTCAGAATCATCACAATGAGTGGGGTAGAGTATGGTTCTAAAGTCTTCAGACCTCGAGCTGTTGATTTATTAGGTCAGATCCCATTTTTACGCTCTCGCGAGTAGCGATTGATGCACTTATTTCAAAATATCTCAGCTTCTAATTGGATTTAAGCGCTAATCTTGGGCATTAAAATGGTCAGAATCATCACAATGAGTGGGGTAGAGCATGGTTTTAAAGTCTTCAGACTTCAGGTTGTTGAATTATTAGGTTAAAACATATTTTTACGCTCTTGCAAGTAGCAATTGACACACTTATTACAAGATATCTCAGCTTCTGATTGAAGCTAAGCGCTTATCATGGGCATTAAAATGGTCAGAATGATCAAATTAAGTGGGGTAAAGCATGTTCCTAGGGCTAGAGGTTTTTGTGAAATTTCACTGATATTTTTTGGCAAACGACTTTTTCCTGGCGATTAATTAAAGTTCATTTAATAAATATTTTCACCATTTCAGTGATCATACTTGCGAGAGCATAAAAATAGGGTTTGACCTAATCATTTAATAACCTAAAGTCTGAAGATTTTAAAACCGTGCTCGATGCTACTCAATCTGATCATTCTTACTATCTTAATGCCCATGATGAACGCTTATCAATATCTCCACTCAGAAGCTGAGATATCTTGAAATAAGTGCAACAAATAATCTCAACACTTGTTTTACTTCGGACTTTCCAACAACCACATTGTTACACAAGTTTAACCAGCCAATTACAGGAAGCCGAAGGATTCAATTATACATTAGGCCAGTGACGGTTAAGGTAGTGTGTACCATCTTCGTCCGAGACTTGCTGCAATGGGCAGCTCTTCATTTAACCCTCACACCCGATTACTGAGTATTCGGCTGAGTGGACTGGGGGGCTGCATAGACCACTCAGGAGTCAGGGTCCTTAGCTTAGCGTCGAATACGCTCAGCCCACGGCTAGTGACACTGACAGAGTCGGGAATCGAACCTGGTACCTCGAGAAATGCCAGGCCGATTTACCAACTGAGCCACTGAGCCGTTCGCGAGAGCGTACTCCTGTACTCGCTACTCGCGAAAGCGTAAAAATGGGATCTAACTCAACAACTTGAAGTCTGAAGACTTTAAAACCATGCTCTACCCCACTTATTATGATGATTCTGACCATTTCAATGCCCAAGATTAGCGTTTAACTCTAATTAGAAGCTGAGATATCTTGAAATAAGTGCATCAATCGCTACTCGCGAGAGTGTAAAAATGGGATTTGACCTAATAACTCAACAACCTGAACTCTGAAGTCTGAAGACTTTAAAACCATGCTCTACCCCACTTATTATGATGATTCTGACCATTTCAATGCCCAAAATTAGCGTTTAACTCTAATTAGAAGCTGAGATATCTTGAAATAAGTGCATCAATCGCTACTCGCGAGAGTGTAAAAATGGGATTTGACCTAATAACTCAACAACCTGAAGTCTGAAGACTTTAAAACCATGCTCTACCCCACTCATTGTGATGATTCTGACCATTTTAATGCCCAAGATGAGCGCTTAGATCCAATTAGAAGCTGAGATATCTTGAAATAAGTGCATCAATCGCTACTCGCGAGAGCATAAAAATGAGATCTGACCTTAATAACTCAACAACCTGAAGTCTGAAGACTTTAAAACCATGCTCTACCCCACTTAATACGATGATTCTGACAATTTTCATGCCCAAGATGAGCGCTTAGCTCCAATCAGAAGCTGAGATATCTTGAAATAAGTGTAATAATTGTTACTCACTAGACTGCTAATATAGTAAAATCGGATTTTTGGCGATTTCTCAAAAACTGAGTCTCTTAGGCCTTAAGTATCTTCATAGCACCTAAGCACTAATATAAATATGCATCTTAGGCACATTTTGGTTCATAATTGAGGTCTGTATCTCAATCAGAAGCCGAGATAATTTATACTTATAGCGGGGGTCGCGATATGCGGATATGGGTGCGGTCAAAAAGGGCGTGATTCCGAGAAATGCCCCACCGGTGAAAAATGTACCCGAGTAATTTATAATAATTTAAGATTTAAAGGAATGTTTTTTTTTCAAAAGTTTTTAACAAATTTTCTAAAAATTTGGCGCTTTAAATATTATAATTTTGGTACCAAAAGTTGCGTCTGATTAATTAATAGCTCATTACGATCCTGTAAGAATTATTTCAAAATTTTTACTATTTTAGGAGTTATAGGCATTTTAAGCAATAAATTAACCATTTTTCGTCCTTTGTACACTTTTGCAATGCACAGGAGGCCCACATACATGTCGACGTTATTATATCGTGCTACACGGTGAATTTTCATTATTCACAGTTTAAGGCAACTTTTGGTACCAAATTTATCAAAATCAGAGACAAATAATTCTGTGCCAACTCATGGCGCTTATTACATAAACTACATTGAGTGCGCGGCGCGGCACAGTAACGCATCGCGCTACAAGCATACGTTGCAATAATATGACGACGTGACATGATAAGCATCGTTAACACGAACAAAACCGTGCAAAGTATAAAATGATTTACAACCAAACCACATACAAATCGACGCCGACACCTCAGATGTGCGCAGGATTTTTCAAGTTCTGCACGCCTAATATAATTTAAATAATTAATTAATGCACCAAACACCACATTGGGATGCAATAAAGTAAAACAATTACATTGTAGGCAGTAGGGAAATTTGAGCGTGCGTGGTGTACCGCGGCGAAATTTATGTTGGAAATTAGATTAAATTCATGATATTGTAAGGGGTCGTTCATATACTGAACGACCCCTTACAATATCATGAATTATATTTATCAGCAATCAGCTGAGGGGGGGGGGAAGAGGTTCCTAATGATTAGGGGGGGTAAAAATGTTCCAAAAAATGATTACGTAATATGTGAACGATCCCACTAATAACTATATAATATAATGATGATGTAACAAGGTTACATAGCATAGGAGCATAATTCAAGTATGCAGAGTGTTAACGGGTGATACTCGTAAAATATCTGTTCCATATACAGGACCGTCGACGAGTCACATTTGTGGTACTAAACCATCAAGTAAACCACTTTCCACCAGCCGATTTTTAAAAGATTTGCTTATTGGCTTCGTCAGATTTTTGTCGGCACTATACCGAAAAAAACCAGTCCTATAACTCTTACAGTTTTCTTAATTAAGACGCTCGGAAATTTCCCAAAAACACACAGATTTACTGAGATTATTAGTATTGATTATCGTTCCAAATTTATCGCTGATAACCGATATTATCGCGATAATTTTGAAAAAGTTATCGATTATCGCGATAAAAGAAATTGTACCGATAATGGCAACCCTAGGTAGAACTAGATTAATTTTGATATCGTAACTTCCATATTTGGTATAGGAAAGTAAAATAAAAATAGAAAAGTTAATAAACAATAACACTGATTATTATACTTTCATACTCTCATAGAGATACAAATGTTGTGATTAAATAAACCCTTTTCAAAGCGTTAAACACTTCAACTAACGCATAGTATTGCTACCTAAAATGTACCTAGTTACCATGGTAACTGTAAGTGTAGTTACTTAATTATTTATAGTATCGGCGTGGTCTCGGAATATTCTCCTTTGAAAAGTTTTCTGTTTTTCTTCATCAAATGAACTCCCCAACAAAACACCAAACACGCCAACGACTGGAGGGAAATGAGCGTTAATATAAAATAAAATCAACAAAAAAGGAGGACCTTATTTGTTCGATTGAACAATTTCCACCATCTCATAGTAATAGAAATTGAAGGTATTCATATTTTTTGTATTTACCTCTGCGATAAATACCAAAGCTAAGATTCCGGTGGACCACTCAAAAATGTACTTTTCAGCTACTATCCCAGAAATTGTTGCTCCGAGAAAACTACCAATGGGGAATGAGGCGCAATAAAGGGAAACAATTACGTTTTGAACCGATTGAGGCAAATCACCACCCGACTTCGTCTGAAATTACATAGGTCACAGTTGCTAGGTCACAGTTGCTAGGTCACAGTTGCTAGGTCACAGTTGCTAGGTTACAGTTGCTAGGTTACAGTTGCTAGGTTAAAGTTGCTAGGTTACAGTTGCTAGGTTAAAGTTGCTAGGTTACAGTTGCTAGGTTACAGTTGCTAGGTTACAGTTGCTAGGTTACAGTTGTTATATATAACCTTATTACGATTTAAAAATATCAGATACGTTGACTAATCTGTTTACTTTATGAACGTTATAAACAGTTTGTTTACCTTACTAAAATTGATATTACAACCAACAAATTATAACATTATATAAATAACATGTTTAATTTACAAACATTAAATAAACAAAATGTTTACCTTACAAATATTATAATAAACAACTTAATTACTTTAAAAACATTATATAAACAACTTATTTACCTTGTAGATATCGAACATAACAAGGAGAACAGGGGTACACCCCATAGGAACAAAGAATCCCAAACACATGAGCGTGGTCAATAGTTGCCCTTTTGACGGCTCGATAAACGCTGGGGTGATTTATGTTTAATTAGGTTAAACATAGATTTAATGAGTTAAGAAAATTAATAAAAATTCGAGTTCAAGTTGAGTAACTGCAAGTTTTATATAAACTTTGGTTTACTCATTGTGCTAAACCTGTTGTCATATTTTTAATCTAAATCAGTATTTGCAACTACAGTTAAAGGGTTCCATATCTTGTATCTAAGTGTTAAACACGTGGTTACTTAAAGAATAATCGACACAATCTCACAGTAACCATGGTAACTATAACTATAGCTACATAGAAATTATCAAGTTACCATGGTAACTGTAACTAAAGCTACATAGAACATACCTATTTACCATGGTAACTGTAACTATAGCTACATAGAACATACCTATTTACCATGGTTACTGTAACTTAACCGAGTTTTTGATTCAGGATGTTACTGAAGATAGTAATGCAAATGTTTTAACACCTCAGAACTGTGTATTACTACAGCTCAACCTGCTCAGTCTGACTAATTGGAAATTTAAACTCTTGGTAACTGTAACTATTTAATTTCACATAATATACTCACAGAGAAGTGGTAGAGGTCCAATGAACATGTAACAAATAGGAAGGAAGATGGAAGAGATCACTAAGAATATGTAAGGATTGTACCGGTCAATGAGAAAACCTGCAGGTAGATTAGAAATACAAATATACATTATAGTATATGTATGTATATATAATATACATTATATTTGAAATATACATGACTCAAGCTAATGATTACTTTTCTGTACGCAAAAAACATGTAATTTAGAATTAAGATCACGAATCTTGCAAAACAATTTAATGCGAGGCTATTTCAATTTAAAGCTTTAAAGGTTGAGACAGACTCAGTCAGGTACTAACTACAACTTACTGCTAACTGCCACTAACTCACCTAAGAATGGGGCAGATAAACAAATGTTATACTAACTCACCTAAGAATGGGGCAGATAAACAAATGTTACTAACTCACCTAAGAATGGGGCAGATAAACAAATGTTACTAACTCACCTAAGAATGGGGCAGATAAACAAATGTTACTAACTCACCTAAGAATGGGGCAGATAAACAAATGTTACTAACTCACCTAAGAATGGGGCAGATAAGCAAATGTTATACTAACTCACCTAAGAATGGGGCAGATAAACAAATGTTACTAACTCACCTAAGAATGGGGCAGATAAGCAAATGTTACTAACTCACCTAAGAATGGGGCAGATAAACAAATGTTACTAACTCACCTAAGAATGGGGCAGATAAGCAAATGTTACTAACTCATCTAAGAATGGGGCAGATAAACAAATGTTACTAACTCACCTAAGAATGGGGCAGATAAACAAATGTTACTAACTCACCTAAGAATGGGGCAGATAAACAAATGTTACTAACTCACCTAAGAATGGGGCAGATAAACAAATGTTACTAACTCACCTAAGAATGGGGCAGATAAGCAAATGTTACTAACTTACCTAAGAATGGGGCAGATAAGCAAATGCTGCCAGAGTTTATCATGAGAGCGGTCCCAGCCCAAACTACAGATTCTCCAAACACACGTTCAACGTAGGGCGATAAGATTGGTATGTGGTAGTTTAGTAGTATCTAGTGAAAGAGAAAGTAAAAGTTAGAATGAGAGTTAAAATGACAGTGAAAGTGAAAGTGAAAGTGAAAGTGAAAGTGAAAGTGAAAGTGAAAGTGAAAGTGAAAGTGAAAGTGAAAGTGAAAGTGAAATTGAACTCGTAAACTAAGAAGTTACCTGACACGCTGAGCAATGCCACGCAGCGAACAGGATGCCAGGATCCAGTAAAGTTTTGAGAGACCGCCAAGTTGTAGCCTTACTGCTGGTGGTGAGTTGGGGAACAAAACACTCAGGGAGGACGGACAGCAGGATTAGGAGACCGGGTACAAAGAACGCTAGTCTGGGGGAGACGGTTTACTGTAACTATAGTTACAGTTACCATGGTAACATGAGAGGGTTCATTGTAGCCATGGTTACAAGGATATTACAGATTGGGGACGATTGTTACAACTTTACATAAAACCGGTCTGCAGGTGAAATCATATCGACTAGTATCAACAAATTTATATCGAGCAATAATAGAATAATGAAGATACGAAGCAACTCACTGAAACCCCCCAGTCGCGTACAGAACGCTCCCTAAAAAGGGGCCCACAGCAAGGGCCCCATTAAGAACTGTCTCCGCAAGTGCGGTTACCGTGGCAACTCTATCAGGGTAGATCGCTACCAGGGCAGCAAACGAGGTCACCGAGATTATACCCCCGCATATGCCTGTGGGAAACTTTTTTAGTTGAATACGGAAATAACTAAGGAATATGATAAAAGTAATTTTATTGGACATACAAAATTAATCTAGTTCATATGGCAACTCTGGTTAAATGTGTTTTTAAGCACGATAAGGAAACATGCACGAATGTTTTCGATATTTTTCTATTTTGACCAAGATGTGAAATCTGCAATCAAATATTACCTTGAACGATTCTCAAGAGGAAGCCGAACCCCACGAATATATCAGCAGATGGGACAAAATCCAGTAGACTGAACAGCATCGTGACAATACCTGAAGAGATTCAGGTGGTTACCATGGTTACCTGAAGAGGTTTAGGTGGTTACCATGGTTACCTGAAGAGTTTTACGGTACAGAATAAACGTGTTTACAAAGTGATCCAGATCAGAGGAGAATTATTAGGTACTACCATGGTTACTATAGTTACAGTTACCATCATGGCATCATGGCTAATAGGTTACTATAGAGCTATAGTTACAGTTACCATGGTTACTAGGTAGTTACTAGGAAACTATAGTTACAGTTACCTAATGAAGCTGTGGGCACGATATATAGCTTCTTGTTTGAGAAGGTGTTCAAAAGAAGAGCTGAGAGGGGACAAACAAAAACGTAGCTGAAAAATATTTTATCAATTTGTTATATTGATGAGGATAAGATATGTGCCCACAAATTAATAATTATGCTATTGGTATTATACTGTATTACTAAAGGGATATTATTATTAAGATACATTTAATGTTTATTTAAACTGCGTAAAAAGTTAACATCATAAAACTAAGTAATACTTCAGATAAAATGTGACTTGTATTTCAACTCTGATAAAGTTATAGGAACCTAAGAGGACCAGCTCCGATGAGAACCCCTGTCCAAGTACTGGAGACGTCATGAGACTGGTCGTAGAGGGGGAGGAAGGCAGCTGGGAGCGAGTAGAACACAAACGCAAAGAACAGAACACACGTGATTATCCCTGAAAAGAAGAATTAGATACTTACATGCTACAAATTTTAATGATGTAGTTTTATGAAGATTTCGAGCCTTATGTTGTGTGTTTCCCTTCGTGTCCAAAAGCATTAGAGAATTAGATACCTGTACAAAGATTTGCTAATTAGCTGTTCTAAACAAGCAATTGATACCCTGCTCTTACTTAATAACTTAATAATAATAAAATTAGAGCGGAAACTAGACTAAAACTCACCAAACAGGACAACTTTCCTCGTCCGTGATAAAGTGCCAGCTACGCTGTGTAAACCCTCCATCGCTCTGTTGAGCACTATTCCCAACTATTAGAATATTATTTCAATATTCTATTACATTTACAGTATTCTAGTATTACCAACAAGCAAAAAACCTTGTGACTATAAGAATTATTTACAGTTATGTTTGTCAACTAGCTCGCAACTAAAGCTCGCAACTAAAGCTCGAAACTAAAGCTCGCAACTAAAGCTCGCAACTAAAGCTCGCAACTAAAGCTCGCAATTAAAGCTCGCAACTAAAGCTCGCAACTAAGATTCATTTGCAACTTGTAATATTATTTTTTACGTATTCTGACATCTAAGACTCTGACTGAGTAGCGCAACTAGAAGTTATTGGTTATAATTTAATGGTTCATTTTACGTTTAGTGGCTTTACTTAACAACTGTTGATAAAAATATTCATTGAATTGGAAATATGGAAACGAGCCATGCTCATCAGTCAGAAACTCTCAAAATGATTCAAATAAGTAAAAATCAAAAAGTATCTTAAATTTGAAATGTCTAGACACTAAGATAATGTTATCATTTTGTTACACAGCATTCGGGCAGATATTTGATAAGGAGTCATTGTAATATATTAAAATTATTATTATAATATTATTATAATATTATAAACATGGTTTCGACTAACATAATTACTGATAAACTGGACGAAGTACAGAGTAAAATGTTTTTGATGAGTTTAGAAAGGTTATCAGGTTCTATTATATTGATTAGGTTCTATATTGATATAAGATATCTCAGTCCCAAGGGTATTAGTAAAATCCCAATTTACCGCGTAGTTTGGGGGAAAAAAACAACCGCAGTAAATCGGGGCGCTGTAAATCGAGTTTTTGTTTGTTCACTTTATGTATGTTAAGCCCCACTTGGGGAAAGGAAAAAACGCGGTAAATTGGGGTATTAGGTACATCATCCTGGACACTAAAGTTGCTAACTGTCGCTATCTGACGCTAGATAGCGCTATCGCTATAGCGCCATATATAGCGCTCGAATTCCAAGTATCGGTAAAGAACCAAAAATACAAAACAGGCTAAAAGATACGCGGTACATCCGTGTTATTGTCACATCACTTATCAAAGTAGGTAACACGTCATGATAACTAATTAGTTATCTACTTCCTAATCAGCTAATTGATCTGCGAATAGAAACCATGTTGTTATCATAGTGTTAGGAAGTACTACAGTACGTGTCGCACTACAGTACGTGTCGCACTATACAGTACGTGTCGCACTGCAGTACGTGTCGCACTACAGTACGTGTCGCACTACAGTACGTGTCGCACTACAGTACGTGTCGCACTACAGTACGTGTCGCACTACAGTACGTGTCGCACTACAGTACGTGTCGCACTACAGTACGTGTCGCACTATACAGTACGTGTCGCACTGCAGTACGTGTCGCACTACAGTACGTGACGCACTACAGTACGTGTCGCACTACAGTACGTGTCACGCTACTATACAGTACGTGTCACGCTACTATACAGTACGTGTCACGCAACTATACAGTACGTGTCACGCAACTATACAGTACGTGTCGCACTACAGTACGTGTCGCACTACAGTACGTGTCACGCTACTATACAGTACGTGTCACGCTACTATACAGTACGTGTCGCACTACAGTACGTGTCGATACACTGGTTACTGGTTTAGGGCAGATGCTATTAATTTATATCGTTGCTGAGCTGTCTTCACGGTTTTTACATACTACAAATCAAAATAACCCAGCTACTAAGAAAACAAAGCTGAAACAAACACACTTGAAACAAACACGGCTAGGCTGTGTTCGTGAAGCAATCTACTAATTACTACTACTAGATGAAGTAGAGGTGAAGTAGGGGTGAAGTAAAGGTAAAGTAGAGGTGAAACCTCAACAGAACTCTATAGAGTAGGTATCTCCGCTATTGCCAGACTATTACAGATTACTGAACTATTTCACACGGAGGCGGAGGTAACATTCCGGAAACTAATTACATCATGACGGATCACAGAAAGCAAACATGTGAAGTTGTGACAGATTATAACAAAAATTAAAAGCTCAGCTCATTTTGCTATATCTTCTGAGTTCTGCATGATACTTGAGTTCATAGTTTATAGTTAATTAGACTGGACATTCAGAAATACTGGTTTACCATGATAGTAGGATACTAGAGAGAGGATCTATGAACGAGACTCTACAAGACTCTACAAGACTTTACGAGACTCTACAAGACTCTACAAGACTTTACGAGACTCTACAAGACTCTACAAGACTTTACGAGACTCTACAAGACTCTACAAGACTTTACAAGACTTTAAAAGATTTTACAAGACTCTACAAGACTCTACAATCTGGAGTGTTTTCCTCTTAATTCTTTTATACTTTTACAGTATAATGAATAATGAATAATGTTAATATTGAAGAAGAAAAAGGAAATTATCGAAGATTCATGTTGCATAACTTATCCGCTGAAGACGTGGCAATTGCAATCTCACCACCTAGATTTTGTTTTGACCTTGCACAACATACCTGACAGCAAACACCTTAACATGGTAGTTTTTGCTAGTCATAACAAATGGCATTTTGTTAAACCATAACACGCCCTGCAGATTTTCAGCTGTTTTGATTTTCCAGGTGTAACCTCGATTTCTTTGTTACCAGTTTTAAAATTTCGGTTACTGTGAAATGCGTCGTGTTTTATGTTTACTTGTGGTTTTGAGTGTGTTATCCCGAACTCTTGGTAACCATGGAAAGAATAAAAAGGTAAACAATTTAAATTTAAATTAGTTTGTTCTGACTTCTGGAGTTTTGCAAAAAAAAGGTGAATGACTTACGATCGACGTAGTAAAGGCGTTATCTATTTAGCTCAATCTCGTCAAATAAAGGTATCTTAAATAACTGTTAAATATCATCAAAGTCCACCGTACAAACGATAGAGACCTTGGCAGTTGGCCCTAACTTTAACAATAAATGATGTTATATTTTAGGATAACGGTGACGATGCTGTTAATGTCGCAGGAGATGAAGATGATGACATAGCAGGAGATAAAGCAAATGGTGAAGATGATGCCATAGCAGGAGATAAAGCAAATGTTGAAGATGATGTCCTAGCAGGAGATAAAGCAAATGGTGAAGATGATGTCATAGCAGGAGATAAAGCAAATGGTGAAGATGATACCATAGCAGAAGATAAAGCAAATGGTGAAGATGATGCCATAGCAAAAGATGAAGCAAAAAGTGAAGATGATGCCATAGCAGGAGATAAAATAAATGGTGAAGATGATGCCATAGCAAGAGATAAAGCAAATAGTGAAGATGATGTCATAGCAGGAGATAAAGCAAATGGTGAAGATGATACCATAGCAAAAGATGAAGCAGATAATGTGAATGACATAAAAGAAGATGACGCAGATAATGTGAATGACATAAAAGAAGATGACGCAGATAATGTGAATGACATAGCAGAAGACGAGGATGGAATGGCTGAGCTTTACTATGGCAATCCTTTAGTTGATGCGGGAGGTTACCAAAATAACGTCTACGGCTACGCCGGTGGTAAGGCTAATATTGTTCTAATAATTTTTACATTTCCGACTTTGAAACGTTTAAAAGCGCGGTTTTTAAACAGCAAAAAAATGAAGATTTTGCCCGGAAATTACAAATTCAGTTTTTAACTTTTACTCTAGTAGCAGAGAGGAGTTGAGTGTGCACTTCAATGTACACAATTTTTGACCACGCAGGGTCTTTCATTAGGTCTTTCCAAACCAAAATCATCTAGGTACCCATTTTGTATCGGTAGTCCCAGTCCTACAGGGCGAAATTTCTAAATTGCCCTCAGGCGCAAATTTGGGATTTTTGTATCTCGGCTTCTAAAAGACTTAGAGACTTGAATATTGGCTTAAAATAACCGCGATACCCTTATTTATATACAAGTTATGAAGCAATATAAGGTCTCAAGTGCCTAGTTTTAAAGATATTCACGAAAAACTGTTTTTTGGCTCATCGCAGCTGGAATTACCGGATTATTTTTACATCTCGAGCTAGAAAGGTCGTAGAAACTTCTCCGATATTGGAAAGTATTCGCAATGAGCACATTTATATAAGACTTATGAATCATTGTATGCTCTAAAATGCTTATTTGTAGAGATATTAGCAAAAATCGGTAATTTTGGCTTCACCAATACAAATTTGGTAATTCGTTTTGTCTTTTTGTTGCAAATTTTCACGTTGCAATTTTCAAGATGCGGTTTGTGGCTATCAATGGGGCTTTATATGCTATTGTATGGTTTTGATACAATCCTTCAGCACCTAGGACATAGGCAATAGGGGTCTCAAACCCTGAAATGTCAGGAACTGGGCAGTGGCCAAGATAAATATTTGATAATTACTTGGACTCTTGACTCAAATTCATCTTTTCAACGGTTAGTTAGACATCTTAAACCAGTATTGAACGTTGAGTGAAACTTCTGATCCATTTGTAGCTCAGGTGATGTGCCCCAGAACAACACACCTGAGTGACAGTGGGCCTTATCGATCATGAGCCGCAAATCACAGTGACTTTGGGCCTCAGAGACAAGGGCATTCGTACTCTTGGCTTAAATTGGCTCTTCGTTAGTATCATCAATCAGGTTTCTAACCTCTAAATCATCTGCCTGTCCATTGTCCATCCGTCTCTTTGAGATTCATTATTACTTCAAGTTTAGTCATTTCGTTTCTGTTCAACTGTAGGCGTAATGAGGGACTTCAGTCCAGCAATAAAGTCAATATCTCTAGATTTAGCAATATTTGGTTGGTTTCGCTACTTTTAAGGTAATTATGTTCAGCAAGCAAGGTTGTAAGTTTTCAGCCCTACTGCCCCGAAATATTGCTTAACATAGCTCATTTTAAAGTTCCTTTATCAGCAGTCTTCCCTATCATACTGGCATATAAACAGATTCACCTCCTTTATCTCTAGATATAATCTTGAACCTAGGCTCTACAGGTTATCGAATGTCCACCAACCTCTTTCATTGAGTCATAAATTAGAATTATGTGGGGCACAGAGTCACTGAGGGACAGGTATCTTTGGGCCCGAAGTTCTAAGACCCAAAGTTGCAGGTGATAGAGGTCCTGGGGCTGACAATAATTGGGGAAAGAGGTTGGTGGACATTCGATAACCTGTAGAGCCCAGGGGGGGGGGGCAATATTTCGGGGCAGTAGGGCTGAAAACTTACAACCTTGCTTGCTGAACATAATTACCTTAAAAGTAGCGAAACCAACCAAATATTGCTAAATCTAGAGATATTGACTTTATTGCTGGACTGAAGTCCCTCATTACGCCTACAGTTGAACAGAAACGAAATGACTAAACTTGAAGTAATAATGAATCTCAAAGAGACGGATGGACAATGGACAGGCAGATGATTTAGAGGTTAGAAACCTGATTGATGATACTAACGAAGAGCCAATTTAAGCCAAGAGTACGAATGCCCTTGTCTCTGAGGCCCAAAGTCACTGTGATTTGCGGCTCATGATCGATAAGGCCCACTGTCACTCAGGTGTGTTGTTCTGGGGCACATCACCTGAGCTACAAATGGATCAGAAGTTTCACTCAACGTTCAATACTGGTTTAAGATGTCTAACTAACCGTTGAAAAGATGAATTTGAGTCAAGAGTCCAAGTAATTATCAAATATTTATCTTGGCCACTGCCCAGTTCCTGACATTTCAGGGTTTGAGACCCCTATTGCCTATGTCCTAGGTGCTGAAGGATTGTATCAAAACCATACAATAGCATATAAAGCCCCATTGATAGCCACAAACCGCATCTTGAAAATTGCAACGTGAAAATTTGCAACAAAAAGACAAAACGAATTACCAAATTTGTATTGGTGAAGCCAAAATTACCGATTTTTGCTAATATCTCTACAAATAAGCATTTTAGAGCATACAATGATTCATAAGTCTTATATAAATGTGCTCATTGCGAATACTTTCCAATATCGGAGAAGTTTCTACGACCTTTCTAGCTCGAGATGTAAAAATAATCCGGTAATTCCAGCTGCGATGAGCCAAAAAACAGTTTTTCATGAATATCTTTAAAACTAGGCACTTGAGACCTTATATTGCTTCATAACTTGTATATAAATAAGGGTATTGCGGTTATTTTAAGCCAATTTTCAAGTCTCTAAGTCTTTTAGAAGCCGAGATACAAAAATCCCAAATTTGCGCCTGAGGGCAATTTAGAAATTTCGCCCTGTAGGACTGGGACTACCGATACAAAATGGGTACCTAGATGATTTTGGTTTGGAATGACCTAATGAAAGACCCTGCGTGGTCAAAAATTGTGTACATTGAAGTGCACACTCAACTCCTCTCTGCTACTCTAGTATTTCAACCATAAATTTGCTTGAAATTCCTCATATAATTTGAAGTTTCTCACTGTTATAACACTTCATTTAAGGAGAAGCAAGCACCGCAGCGTCCTCCCTGCCGTCCATAACATTGCCCACGGGGAGCACTGCAACTGGCTCTGCCTTCACGGCCACCGGCTCGATCAGTTTCAGTCCTGTATCCAGTACTGTAACCAGTTTTGGTACTGTGTCTGGTACTGTGTCTGGTACCACTTCTGGTACTGCATCTGGTACCGTTTCCGGTACTCCATCCGGTACTGCATCTGGTACTGCATCTGGTACCGTGTCTGGTACTACATCTGGTAGCCCTTTCACCGGGACTTCTTTCCCTTCTATTTTTGCTACTTTACCTTCTGGTTCTAGTTCAAGTCCGTCAGGTCCTACTGCTGCAACTACCACACCCACTGGTTGGTATCTAAGTTTTATTAAACAATGATTAATTTATAACGACTAATTTTTAAACTTCTAATCAGCAGCAACTAATCTTTGATCTACAAATTTCGTCACTTTTTTGAGAGGACGTTAAACTTGAAGTTTTAAATGGCAGTTTAACTTCGTCCAACCCAAATATTTAGGCACAACTTCTTCACATTATAACTTTGTATGAAAAGCATTAATAAGTATGATAAGTATGATAATCATAATTGATAATTATGGAAATTAGCATTAATAATAATGATAATTGTAATTACAGGACCTACAGCTTGCTGGCTGCAACTTCAAAATAAACAGTGGATCTGGAACACATATCTCACACATTACAACGGTAATTACATAATACACATTATATTCTTAGTTATGATAACATTAATTAGTTGCTTGGTTTGCCAAAGAAAGTGCTCAACTGCATATAAGAAGGAGCATTTCAAACTAGCGAAAAACTCGAATTAGGCCGGCAGAATCAAATGAACCATCATCATTTCATGGTATAAATATACTGTTATAGAAAGAATAATACCAATCCTCGGGCATATGAAACTACTCGTCTGCCCGCCTTTTTCGAGTTTTCACTTGTTTAAATACTTGTTTGTTCATAATAGCGTACTTATATTCTTCGAATCTGTGTTCTTTATTTCTATAGATCAGCTCAATTTGGTTAAATCAAGAATTTGTATGACAGGTAATTTACAGTGCGGAGGATGGGTAAGACTTCCTAATTGTCACTGGCATTGGACTGATCAACCCCAACACTACCGTCCAGTGTGAGTATTTTCAAAATATTTCCTTGGGTACTTTATATTTATTTTCAAAATATTTATATTCAAAATATTTCCTTGGGTACCTTATATTTATTTTCAAAATATTTATTTTCAAAATATTTCCTTGGGTACTTTATATTTATTTTCAAAATATTTATTTTCAAAATATTTCCTTGGGTACTTTATATTTATTTTCAAAATATTTATTTTAAAAATATTTATTTTAAAAACATTTACTTAAAAATATTTATTTTAAAAATATTTATATTCAAAATATTTCCTTGGGTACCTTATATTTATTTTCAAAATATTTATTTTCAAAATATTTCCTTGGGTACTTTATATTTATTTTCAAAATATTTATTTTCAAAATATTTCCTTGGGTACTTTATATTTATTTTCAAAATATTTATTTTAAAAATATTTATTTTAAAAATATTTACTTAAAAATATTTATTTTAAAAATATTTACGGGTATCGGCATTACAAAATGACAGGCCTCAAAAAATGACAGTCCACATAGACCATGCTGTAGCTTAGGTTCCCTATACATTGAACCCTATTCCTTTTACTGTATTAAAGAAAAAGCATTGATTAAAACTTCCCAAGGAATGATATTGATAATGACATAGAATTTATATTTCTTACATACATATGGACGTTTTTGCTGTTCAGTCATTGCCCCGCCTAACTGTTACCCAGAATGGAGACCAAAGTTTAGAATTTAACCCCAGGAAACCAGGTACTACCATGACTTATGTCAATCAAAGGCTACTCTGGTCAAGTAAAAAAACTTAGTGACTTTGGTAGAAAAATGACCTAGCCTCACAAAATGACACTGTTATGCCTCACAAAATGACAATTTAATTTATGAATCTACAAAGATGGCATATTTATATTGGATGCCCCTTGCCTAATTATTGGTATTCTAAAACCCAGTAAGCTTATGATGAGCCTAAATGAGTTTTTTTGATCATCAATTTTGATCAAAATGCCTCACAAAATGACAGCGAAAAGCCTTACAAAATGACAATGTTTCAGATTGAAGTACTCTGACAGTTAAAAATCAAGTAGCATTACAAAAGTGCAGCTCTGATATCAAAACTTTGATTTCAAACTCTTTGATTTCACACTCTGATTTCAAAACTCAACGAAATAATTAATAAAGCTTCTATTTTGTGAAAGCAGAGAGTAATAACAACTCTTAAAACATGTCAAACGTTAACTAAACACTGAAAAGTGATCTATCCAGTCATAGAAAATATCAAATATAACCAAATACTGTGTTCAAGTATGAAAACAAAAAATGATTCTTACGCCTCACAAAATGACATTCTTAAACATTTTTCTTTTTTAATATATTCCATATGTTCAATATGTTCCACAAGATACGAACTTAAGTGTTCAATCAATAATCTGATACAACCTCATTTTGAGTAAAATTTTGTTAGTCTTTTTCAATTACCCTTTTTCAGAGTTTGCTACGATTGGATCTGGGATAATAACTCTGGCGGGGGTATGAAATAATAATTAATTTTTATTTCAAAATTCAAATAAACTTTACATCAATGTATTACAGTTATATTCAATAAAAAGACCACAATATCTCCTGTGAAGCAAAAACATGGAAAAAGAGAGCTAGAAAAATATTCATGATACTCAACACTACCAGACTCAGCTGGAGTGAGAAACAAATTGTAAAAACATCAACGTAAAATTTATTTCGGCTGAACCAAAACACGGTGGTAAGACCATAATAACATTGGTGCCGACCCTACATAAAATCATTAATAAATAATCAAGAGAACAAATTTAAATGTATACGATACCTTCTTGCTACTACTCCACAAACTTACACGACATAACAACAAAATAACATAATTAAATAATATTATAATAAAACAATCTACAATCTAGCCACTCACGTACTGCGTGACGCGCTTGTTTCGGGTTGTTTCATAAAAGAAAAAACGGCGCGTTCTACTGCAGGTGCGAGGGGCAAATTATAGAGAGTATGACATTCATAAAGTAAAATATATATATAATAATATTCCATGATGGGCCATCTAATCAGGCCAGCATACGTCAGAAGACCAGAGAAATTCAGTTAGCTTTGTTTTGAAAATAGAAATTTTCTCAGTCTGTCTAACATAGGCTGGCAGTGCATTCCACAGAAGCATTGTTCTATAAAAGAAGCTGTTTCTGAAACTATCGCAGTTTGGTACAATAGAGCAGGTATATGTGCTGGTGTCAAGTCCTTCAATGACTGATGCCGTGCTCCTTGTGTACCTCATTGTTCCAGCTTCAACAACAGTAATATATTCAGGTAGAGATATACTTACCAAATCATTTACTATTTTATAGAAGAGCGTAATTGAATTATGGATGAACTTAGATCTAATGGGTAGAATTTTAAGCTCCTTCTGCTTCTCATAGAATTCAATATCACTATAATGATCAAACTGTTGTCCATTGATCCATTTGATCGCTCTTTTCTGGATTGCCTCAAACTTCGACATGTGTGTCGATCGCTGAGGACACCATATAACTGAGCAATGTTCAAAGATTGATCTTACAATGGTAAGGTAGAAAGCCCTCTTTTGGCGTTTATCCATGGTAAAATGACAGGTTCTCTTTAAGAGCCCAAGCTTTGAGCTTGCTTTAGATATCAATTGATCACAATGTGCACCCCACAGAAATCTGTTGTTCATTATTACACCAAGATCTGTATGGGATGCCACATAATCAATTATGACTTCATTAAGATTATACCAATAAATATTAAAAGGAAGATTGTCTAATACATTTCTTTGCAGAGTTACAGATAACACCTTACACTTTGAAGGGTGAAAAGTCATTTTGTTATCGATTGACCAGGCAAACAACCTGTCTATATCTCCTTGGAGAATATAGTGGTCTTCAAAGCATTCGATGACCCTCCAAATTTTGGTGTCATCTGCATACAATGCTACATTTGTATCCTCCGAAACACACGAGAACATGTCGTTGATGAATAGAACAAACAGAAGTGGTCCCAGAATAGATCCCTGGGGCACTCCTGATTGCACGGGAAGCATGCTTGAGACAGCTCCGCCTACAACAACCTGCTGTCGTCTGTCTTGTAAATACGACTTTAAAAATCTAAGCATCAGACCATCAATACCATATAAATTTTTTAGCTTGCGAAGGATTAAGTCATGTGATACACTGTCAAATGCCTTAGCAAAATCAAAATAAACAATGTCGGATCTTGACTTATTGTTCAGGGCCAGCGCAAGGTTGTCTGTGAATGGGACCATCTGGGTAGTGCAAGACTTCCCATTCACAAAACCGTGTTGTCTACAGTCGATTAACCCTTCACAAGCTGCGAGCAACTCTTTCGAAATACAACGTTCAAAAACTTTCATAACTAAGCATGTCAGTGAGATGGGTCTGTAATTTTCAACAGATCCTTTTTCACCCTTCTTGTGTACCGGAACAACAGAAGCAAGCTTCCATTTCTCCGGCACACATCCAGTCACAAAAGAGGTGTTGAAAATCATGGTTAGAGGCTTTGCAAGAGTGCTCGCACAATTTTTTAACACTGTGCCATGGATACCATCTGGACCTGCAAACATTCTTAATCTAATAATTAATAAACATTCATAATAATAATAATTAATAAACATTAAACATTCTTGACAAAATGGTCGATGACGAAACTGGTCAGTAAAAGTACAATTTGTTAAATTGAAAGTACAATATTTTAAATCAAAAATACAACATTTTCATCGTTCAGGTGGCGGCGGTAGCGGTGGTGGTGGTGGCGGTGGTGGCGGCGGTGGTAGTGACGACGGTAAGAGTTTAGAGTCCATATCTTAATACGTAATTGATAGCACAGCTTTTGTTTATTCTGCGTCATAACATGAGCAGTACGAAAAAGCTTTTCTCATAAAGTAGGCGATATTAACATTTCAACACCTCAGGAGGCCCCAGCACTGAGGGACCCAGCACCGAGGGACCCAGTGAGACCCCTCCTACAGACTCAACTACAGCTGAACCAGGTGTAGTGGGCACGAACCCTCCCGTTACAACTGAAGCCCCTCCCTCTGAAACAGAGGCCCCCTGTGATTGCGATGAGTGGGATTATCCTGGTGACTGTGGTACTGATGGGTTTATATTCAGGTAGGGTCACAATCCAAATTTTTCTATTTCTCTCATAGTATTGCCAGATCCCAGTTCAATTTGTAACGGAGTTTTATATTAACAGGAAACGATGAAACGAAGTTGATATATTTTAATGTTGCCATGGGGTGGCAAGTCCCCATACATCGTAGTCCGGTAGTGCCATTGCGTCAAGCGTCTTTATTTACTCCTTCACATTATTAAACATTACGTCTTAATATATGCTACTCCTCTTTACATCATGACATTAATATTTCCTCTCAGATGGAGAACATGCTACCCTTATGATTGCCTCCAAGAAGATGAATACGTGGCGTGCTAGCTGATCCCTCCGCTTGCAATCTAAATAGTGAATATAACGCTCCGTTCGTGTTCACACCAAAGTTCACTCCACTGCAGTTTTTGATGGGTTGCGTGGGTTCACTCCGCAAGCAATCGGTGTGGGACTATGTTCACAAGCAATGTAATTACAAATAAAATGGTTCTTTATGTTAAGATTTGGTGTTCTATACTATTATAATTGCTATATCGGAGAATATAGTCGTTTACCTGTCTCATTGCTCAGTTTCTTCTTACTTGTGAGTCTCAAAGTAATTAACCAAACAAGAATTAGTTTAAAGGGGGGGGGGGGGGGGGGGGGGGGGGGGGTTCACCCTGATTTTTTTGTGAAACTTGGTTTCGAGATAGCAGTTGACCAACAAACTAGAACCGGGGACCGAACTTTTGAGGGGGTCCCCGACCCCAACCGCCAAACGGTGCCCGCGGGACAGCCACGCCCATATTTGGTCTAAATTAGGCCCAATTTAGCCAAATACCCTGAACATGCCCAAAACCCAGATTTAATGTGCTCTACTTGTAGCTAGTGGTCCCCTGAACAAGTATATGCATTTTCATCAAGATTGGGCAAAAAATGACTGAGTTATGAGCCAAAAACCATATTTGGGCATACGCACCAAATTTGATCGATTTTGGCCCATAAATTGGTCAAATATCAATATTTTTGAATGAAACCAACTTTATATAAAAGGTGAGCTTATACTACACATTCTCTGTGATTATCAGCTCAGTATCTACCTAACTGTGGATTCTGTGTTCAAATAATCACAAAAAATGAACAAAATCGTCCATATCTCAGTACGCGATATTTGCAAAATTTTGAGTTAGGCCTTTAAAAAAATTTGGCGGCCAAAATCTGAAAAATGCCTGGCAAATTTTGGAATTTGGCCGCCAAATATTTTTAAAGGCCTAACTCAAAATTTCAATACAAGAGATAAGGTCGAAATGCGATTCTACGTTGATTCTGAAAATTTCATGTAAAAATATTGAAACCCTATTGAGTTCTATTGTTTTGAGCGAAATCAGTTTTGCAAATATTGCGAACTGAGATATGGACGATTTTGTTCATTTTTTGTGATTATTTGAACACAGTATCCACAGTTAGGTAGATACTGAGCTGATAATCATAGAGAATGTGTAGTATAAACTTACCTTTCATATAAAGTTGGTTTCATTCGAAATATTGATATTTGACCAATTTATGGGCCAAAATCGATCAAATTTGGTGCGTATGCCCAAATATGGTCATATGGTTTTTGGCTCATAACTCAGTCATTTTTTGCCCAATCTTGATGAAAATTCATATACTTATTCAGGGGACCACTAGCTACAAGTAAAGCACATTAAATCCGGGTTTTGGGCATGTTCAGGGTATTTGGCTAAATTGGGCCTAATTTGAACCAAATATGGGCGTGGCTGCCCCGCGGGCACCGTTTGGCGGTTGGGGTCGGAGACCCCCTCAAAAGTTCGGTCACCGGTTCTAGTTTGTTGGTCAACTGCTATCTCGAAACCAAGTTTCACAAAAAAATCAGGGTGAACCCCCCCCCCCCCCCTTAATTGGACCCATTGTTGACCCCCCCCTCTTCCTACACCCCTGTGCCCAGAATGAACGGAGATTGAATTTGAAAATTCACCCACGCGCTCTGACGTGCATAAAAATAATGTTTGTAAAATTCATCACCTGTATAATTATATGCAATATGATTAAATACTTATTGAGATGAATCAGCCTGTGTAATTAGTTTAAAAAATTACCATTAAAGCATCGATTCAGAGATTAAGAGATTAAGTAACAAATGTACGAACTGTCACGCTGGCTTGTTTCTACATGAGCCGTTTACTGCTCATTTCTTCTTATCGACGGGGATAAATTAGTGTGTAATTCAAGTTATAAATTGGAAGTTTCACGTCCAAATTTTTGAAATATCACCCTCCACTTTATAATTTTATATAAGCGGTAGTTCGGTTATACTTATACTGTGGTTCCATAATACTCAATCCTAGTATAATACTCGCTATATGGTTACTACTTTACTATGGTTACTATGGTTACTATGGTTACTATGGTTACTAACATTATTTGCAATGTTTCACTTCCAACCTTAAAGTTAAACCGATTTTACTACTGCCCTAATAATAATGTTATAATGTTAAACTTATCAACTGTTTTAACACTTTTGTCGCGTCGTGTCTGTGAGAATATTATCGAATCTATAAGAGTATAAGCAACTATGCATGCTGCGTTACTAAAGCAATTTTACTACGGATCATGATCACTCATAAAAATGTGCATATTATCATATTACTGATTTCTCGTTAATTTCCACTTCACGATTGAATTAAAGGACTGACGACTATAACATGCACAGATCCCCTACATTCACAGATAATCTGTTTGTTCAGCTTATTTGTATTTTTACTGTCTTACGCAGGGTGCTATATATATTATGCAGTTATAGAGTGATATTATATAGACTATATAGACTATTATTTATATTATACAGTTATAGAGTGGTATTCACTGTTGAAACTACAGAATCAAATTAATTTGCCCATATACATGGTATATAAACACTGCACAATGCACATCCTATAGCTCTATACTTCAACAGTATGATAGTTTACATTGTGCGTTATCTGTACTTCTATAATATTTCGATCTCAAGTAACTAAGTAAGTAGTAGTAGTATAGGTACACTTCTTTGTATTTTATAGTTTGTTAGTAATCAACGATCGCGTATGAATAATGTAGTTTTGCTGCACTGCCAATCACGTGTAACTACAGTACGTGTCACGTGTAACAGCAGTACGTGTCACGTGTAATTGCAGTACGTGTCACGTGTAACTGCAGTACGTGTCACGTGTAACTGCAGTACGTGTCACGTGTAACTGCAGTACGTGCCACGTGTAACTGCAGTACGTGTCATTTGTAACTACAGTACGTGTCACGTGTAACAGCAGTACGTGTCACGTGTAACTGCAGTACGTGTCACGTGTAACAGCAGTACGTGTCACGTGTAACTACAGTACGTGTCACGTGTAACAGCAGTACGTGTCACGTGTAACTACAGTACGTGTCACGTGTAACAGCAGTACGTGTCAGGTGTAACTGCAGTACGTGTCACGTGTAACTGCAGTACGTGTCACGTGTAACTGCAGTACGTGTCATGTGTAACTGCAGTACGTGTCACGTGTAACAGCAGTACGTGTCACGTGTAACTACAGTACGTGTCACGTGTAACTACAGTACGTGTCACGTGTAACAGCAGTACGTGTCAAGTGTAACTGCAGTACGTGTTACGTGTAACTGCAGTACGTGTCACGTGTAACTGCAGTACGTGTCACGTGTAACAGCAGTACGTGTCACGTGTAACAGCAGTACGTGTCACGTGTAACAGCAGTACGTGTCACGTGTAACTGCAGTACGTGTCACGTGTAACTGCAGTACGTGTCACGTGTAACTGCAGTACGTGTCACGTGTAACTGCAGTACGTGTCACGTGTAACTGCAGTACGTGTCACGTGTAACTGCAGTACGTGTCACGTGTAACTGCAGTACGTGTCACGTGTAACTGCAGTACGTGTCACGTGTAACTGCAGTACGTGTCACGTGTAACTGCAGTACGTGTCACGTGTAACTGCAGTACGTGTCACGTTATTTGCCTCACGTCTGCGAAGTTATTCAGCTTCAGTTTACTCTAGATCACTGCTTGGGTCTTGACCGCGATTATCTCTGTTTGTAAATACGCACATGTTACAATTAGCATAGATCAATAAAACCATTTGTGTAATTTTGTAAGCTTTTTACTCTTGTCAAAGTATTATATCGTCTCGATTAAGTTTTTTTGTACACATTTTGCTGCAATTACATGTGATTTTTGCTGCGATTATAATTCCTTCCTGACTTATAGTTTAGATAGTTTCTGATTCTCTAATCACAGTCAATTATTCAAATAGTAGCCGCAAAATGGTCATAAATTCTCATCTAGTTTGAATAATATTGTCATTATACATGTTATTGCATGTTGTATCTTTATATAAATCAAATGTAAATGTTATTATCTATTTCATATGTATAACGTTTGAGAGGGTGAAGGCTATTTACTTGACTCTAATTAAACACTACTTTATCATATTTTATTCATCGAAGGTGTAGTATCGCCAGATCCCAGTTCGATTTGTAGCGACGTTTTATATTAAAAGGAAAAGATATAACAGAGTCAATATATTTTAATGTTGCCATGGGGTGGTAAGTCCCCATACATCGTAGTCCAATAGTTTCACTGCGTCATACTATAAGTCTGCACACTCATACACATTTAACACATTAAACACATTTAAATACATTTCACACAAACACACAAGCACCACATCAAACTGTGATATAACGTAGCCATTACTGACAATTCATAACAACAAGTATATTGTTTTGCACTTCTCGTTGCAATTTGTGATTCATACTAACAGTTTAACAGCTATTCTCATATGATCTTATTATGATTGTAGGTTATAATTTGCTAACACCCCAGTTCCATGGCCGGATATTATGCCAAATTATTAGACGGAGGTCTATTTCCCGTAGATCATCTCCGGAGATGATCCTCCGGCTCCGTCTACTGTACTACTGTATTAGACGGAGATGAAGCTCTCCGGGAATTTCTCGGAGATTAATTCATACAGAATCATACAGAATCAACAAAATTACCGTAGATGGTCTCCGGTCGTGGAACTGCAAACCGGAGAAATATCAGTAGACGATCTCCGTCTAATAATTTGGCATAATATCCGGCCATGGAACTGGGGTGTTATGTATAATGTTTGATTATAGTTTATCTTCAGCTGTTTCGCGAGGTCGTTATTTCAATGAACATGATTAATTGTAGCATTTGTAGAGTAAAAAGTGTATGAAATATCTGAAAATCGTACAGGAAATTTAAATCTCTCCAAAGTTAACGACTAGGCTGGGGACGGGAAATATATTTTAAGGGCGTTTCTTAGTAACACTGTAGTTTCTTAGTTACGTTGCTTAGTGCAACAGAGCAGCCTCTTAATATAAACATAAGGAAACAATGTACTACTACAATTATAGTATGTAGTATGAGATAAATATTAATATTATTATATTTTAATCTACAACTACAGAACTACCTAATCTTCTGCCATGTAAATGATTTGTAATCCTGGTTTAAATGGGTTTTCAATTATAAATATTTGCGGTGATGTATTATGAAAGTAAAAGCATTTGCCAGCTATATGCATAACAACGTGAGCATAATTAGTGAAACTTTGAATCAATAATTTACGTATATAATATTTCATAGCTAAAAATGTTAAAATTTCAGATTTGATATCGTGTTCATACATTTCATGGCTCGGATAATTCTTCTCTTATTTCATTATATTCCACAAATTTCATTTTACACAATCAATATCAGAATATACGCTATATATAGTATATTATATATTACTACTTATTTATTCCCATAAACTAACATTATACATAATACTACCTAATCTACAAAATCTGATACCTGATGAGTATATGACTAAGAAATAATTGTAGTACCGTTACTCGATGCTCTGAAATTTCAACCGTCCTAATCACTGGAAAATATCGGATTTCATCACTGATCCCCACCTGTAATTACTTAATAAGAACACTCTGTTCGCTTCGTTAAATACACCCTTAAAACCCAATTATCGGTCGAATCCTTTTTCATATTTCACGTTTGTTGAAATAAAGTTTCCGAGTTTGTTGTTCACATGAATATAAACCCGCTGTGTTTTGTGTTACGTTTAGTTGCTTAGTGATCAAGTTATAAGGCTCGTTTTATCAGATACAAGCGTGCAATGTGATTTCTACTAATCTACTCAAAACTGATGCTGTGATTGTCTTGGCCCCTTGTGATTTGTGACAATGGCGGGAAAGTATGAAAAGGTTGATGATAGCGGCTTAGTTAGCATCGAGGAAGAAGATAACAGGTAAGACGCTCTCAAATCCAACCTCCTTAATTATTTAATTAATTAAGTCTCCAATGATTCATTTATCCATGATATTGTTTGATCGTGCCGTAAAATAAATAAGTTTGATAAAAAACAGTTAATTTTAAGCGGTGATAAATTATAATGTTATGATATATAATCAGCATACTTTAATTATTTTGGTGATTATAAATCATAATTATTGATACATACATGTTACATGGCGAGATCTCCATCCAAAAGGATTAGTCTGCGTCGACTGCGTCATTACTTTGTATTATACAACTTCGGCGGGTAACATTTCTCCATCCCTTTCGGTCTGCAGCTAATCTTCTCATACAATCAATCGTGAGTCCATTACGATCCAATCTCTGCTCAGCATCCTCAATGAATACATCATTTAAGCTCTTCCTAGGCCTGCCTCTTGATCTCTTCCCATGCTTGGGTTTCCATTCAAGTAAATAGTTGGGCAACCGATCTTCAGGCATTCTACTGACATGTCCAAACCAACGCAGCCGTTTTGTTGTTATTATGTCAGCAAGGGCAGTTATTGATGCCCTTCTTAAAACATCCTCATTACTTACTCGATGGAACCACCTCACTCTCAGGATTCTTCTTAAGCAGTACTGATGGAAAGACTCCAATCTTCTTGTCTGCACTTGAGTCGTGTTCCATATCTCACATCCATAGGTCAGAATGGTAAGAACAGCTGCGATGTAGATTCGCACTTTGTTGTTAATGCTTATGTTCTTATTCTTCCAAATGTTGTTGAGTTGGTTAAAAGCTCCGGTTGCTTTTCCAATCCTGACCCTTATTTCTTTATCAATCTTGCCATTTGATGTAATTTTGGCACCCAAATAAGTGAATTGAGTGACCTGCTTTGCAGAGTTTCCATCGACAGTTATATCTATGGTCCTATTCTCTGGGAGTGGGTGCTGCGATGTATCTTTCCCAATGACCATGATCTCTGTTTTCTTTGCGTTCATCTTTAAACCCCCAAGTCCACAGTATTTCGCAATATTGTCCGTAGTTTCTTGCAGTCCTTCAACAGTGTCATCCATTCCTGCGATGTCATCAGCATAGTCAAGATCAATGACACATTTTTCCGGTTGTCTGGAACTTTGTCTGTACTGATGTGTAAAACCACGGGATATATTCTTAAACTTCTCTGCAAGTTCTAATCCCCAGTTAAGTACAAGATTAAAAATAGGGGGCCCTTGCACATCACCTTGTCCAGTCCCCGAATCGACATCAAACCATCTTGTCAATTCTCCATTGACACGAACTGCACTTTCAGTTGCTCTAAAGAACGCTTTGAAAACATTGATATATTTTGTCGGAAGACCATAATGTTCAAAAGCTTTCCAAATAAAGTCACGATTGATTGAATCAAAAGCAGCTTTAAAATCAATAAAGTTTATGTACAAAGGGACGTTGAATTCTATACAATTGTGTATTATACAATGAAGTGAGTACAGCTGATCTATACAAGAACGGATCTATATAGTAATATAAAGCTTACAGGTAAAATAAATAATATATCGGTATTTAGATAACCTTTAATACATTTACAAGTGTAACATAAACATTATAAAATAGTTTTAACAGTTTCCACACCATTCTATTTATATACTTTTCTATTTAATACTTTCAACACTACTATATAACAAATAATTTGAGGCTCTAAGGATGTAATTTTACAAAGATTTCAAGCCTCAAGATGTGTGTTTTCCTTCGTGTCCAAAAGCATTATATCTATTTATGGAGTGTTATAATTTATAAAGTTGTTGTACCCTATAAGTGTATATTCACCTACAACCATAACTGCTTGGCGTGATTCGGTACATCTTTGATTGGTCGAAGGTCTTTCAACAACACAGCATCATCACTTTCATAGTAGTCCCCGGCTTATGACGGGTTTATAGCGGTATTAAACATGTTTTTCTGGGCCCAAACATTCTACGCTCCTACTATAATATTATTACTCGTCTCTTGACTAACTCCCAATCATCTGTCCATATGGTAGTGTTTCTGGACAAATAGATGGTATACGATGCCCTCAGGCTAATCTCAGCGATCTTCATGCAGGCCTTCTTCTTCTCTTTGTTGTTTACGTTCAGGTAGTTCATAAAGGTTGGGAGGCTATAGTTGTAAATGCCTCGAGCTCCTAATTCTACTGTCTGGAGCTTGCAAGCCCATCCGTTGGCTTCTATCTCTTCTGTCAGCTGCTGATATCTCTTCATCTTCGCTTCTCTTGATCAGCAAAGTTGTGCTCATTTCCACAAGTCAGCTCCATTAGATAAACCTTCTTTGCTTTATCCGAATAGCTCACTACATCAGATCTTAGTGGTGTAGCTGCAATGTGCTGCGGGAAGTTCCTCTGTCTCTCATCCTCATCAAATATTATCTTCCAGTCGTTGGCATCTGAGAAGAAATATCTTTGGGTCTTATGATGAGTTGGGTCAGCAGCTGACCGTCAGCTAGGGTAACCTTTTCGCGCTTATTGCCTGCCTTGTGAAAGACCGACGGTGCCCTCTTCGATTCCTTGGTGATGTCGGAATTAAACTTGTCAATCTGTGATGAAACAGTCTTCATGATTTCACGTAGGACCTGATCATGGCGCCAGTTGAAACGTCCCTGTCTTAGTGCAACCTTGCAGAACGTGAGGATATGATTGAGTGTCCCTTGTTTGCTGCAGAGTTTACAGTTTCCTGAAACGGCTTTATTCCAAAGCTTTAGGTTGCTAGGTGTTGACGCAGTGTCATGGATAGCATTGACATGAAACTTTAACAGTTCCGGACTAAGTTGAATGATCAGGTTATTCCACGTGGTGTCAAATGTCATTATATTTTCCCATGCGAGAAAGAGGTTTTGCCGCTTTTTGTCAAAAAGTGAACACCATGTTGGTTAGCAGTTTCCTCTCTGATGTGTTTTCATATCTTGTCCCATACCCGAGGCCAGTTGTACCAACTGCAGGTTTTCCAACTAACTCTTGGAAGTAAAGTTGGCGCTGACGGTCTTTCAGCTCTTTGGGATAATACCACATTTTCTGTGTGTCTGCAATTATAGCCTTATGGTTAGAGTACACTTTTTTGATGTAGGGGTCACTAGAGTTACAAAGTTGGTGTCCCTTGATAAGTTGAATGACTTTGTACTCAGTGCAGATGTTTTTCAGCTGCAATCCTTTCTGGTCTCTACTCCTGTAGAGGACGGTGGTGGTACAAGGATGTGCAATCCCTAGCCACTTCTTAAGGTATCTGTTACACAGTGCCTCAAGCTCTGTCACAAATGTGATGGGTAGGTTATAAACAGTAAACCCCCATGACATCTTACTAATGATGAGGTGGTTATACACCCACGCCTTCATTGGAACCGTGATTTCATCATTAGACGTTGTTTCCAAAGGGTCCTCTAATTTCTTCTTTATCATGGACCGAATTTCCTTCACCTCAAGATCTACATACATGTACATTCCTAGGAAATTCATTGGTGCTTGGAAAATGGACGGCACCTGTTGTTCGCTTAGTACAAACTCTGCATCATAGGTATTTTACTTTCCTCCAGTACACTTCATAGACATAGACATGCACTTCGATGGTTAAGCCTAGGACACTGAGGCTTCCATAATACTCAATTATAAGCTTAATGAAGTTTTCAGGTAGGTGGTACCGGCGTAGAGCATAAATAATAAGGCTGTGCGGGACTCTCCCATACGCATTCATAAGGTCAATCCAGATCACGTGGACTTGTCTTCTGTGGCTTTTAGCATCTTTAATCTCTTCAAGGAGGGCTTGAGTGTGTTCTAGGCAACCAGGGGTTTTCTTCATGAAACCTTTCTGTACTGAGGTGTCAATGAACAGATTTCGTGTCATGTGCTCAAGTACACGGTCTCCCCAGATGGCAAAGAACAGCTTCCCACTACAGTTTTTGAGTGTGATGTTACGGAACTTTCCAGGATCTTTTAGATCATCCGTTTTAGGAATTAATGTACTCACTCCCACCTTCCACTGTGGGGGGACAACTCATGTTTTCCAAATCCTGCATATCAGATGGAGTAGATGGTGACTGAAAGTTTGACACTTTTTGTAGATCAGGTAGTTGACACCATTTGACCCAGGTGCTGACTTATTTCTCCTTGACTTAAGCTTTAGATGGAATTCATCCCATGTGGGTGGCACTGTACTGCAGATCCAATTAGGCTTGTCAAGGTCTTTCAGTCCTTTGAGGTTTACATAGTCACGCTCTCGGTCATCATCTTTGTACTCCTTTTCAAAGAACTTGGATGCTTCTTCACTGTCAAACTCAGGCTCTTTATCTTTAGTCTTTTCCTTCGTGAGCAGTTTCTTACCATACTCATAAGGGTTTCTTCTAAAGAGTTTGGAGCTATTCTCTTTCATCTTTTTCCTTTCTTTCTTCTGGGCGGTCTTTCTTGCTTTGTTATGAAGTCGTACTAGTTTCAGGTAAGAAATCTTCTGTCTTTTAACCTGTTCATCATCATTTGAGTCACATACTCTCTTCCATTCCTTTCTACTCTCTTTCTTCATTTCCCTCAACTGTCTGCACTCAGCATCAAGTCTCGGTTTTTCTTCGATGGTATAATGTTTGTTGAACCAACTTCGCATATCAACTCGAGGTAGTCATAGGTGGTGTTCTCAAGTAACTCCAAACCCTTAATAGGGTCGCTGAGTGTAGTGAACTGGAGACCAATTAGACCGAGGTTTTGATCAATCTTGTTCCACCTATTATCATTGGCCTCAGGTAGTTTTAATCGAGTTTTAATATATTTAATATATTTAATATATTTTCACTGCCTCTTAATATAGTTCTCAAATATCTAATAAGTGAAGCAGTCACACTGATATAATATTACCTAACGAATTTTGATGAATAATGTACTAACAGCAAGGAAGTACTGCTCCTTCATTAGCGTTTTTATTAACAGGGCAGATCCAGACGCAGAGTACACCAAAGTTCCACAATGGAAGACAGTTTTCACTTTATTCGTTCTTTTCATTAGTACTGTTATTTCTATGAATCTCCCTATAGAGGTTAGTCTACAGTTTGTTTACTGACCCATACAGTAAAGCAGTAAAACAAAATTATCAATTTTATGCACATTTTATACAATAATAATGAAAATCTTTACAAAGAAAAGCAATTTAAGATAATTTTGCATACAAGTCATACTGCAGATAAACTGATAGTTGACGGGGCAAAGGGGTGATTCTACTACAATAAGATAATACACTATGATCAGATACAAACTTATTTAATCATAATGATAATGATAATTAAAACAATACTGCCATCAACAGCTACCTACAGTAGTCTACTGTAGGCTAGGTAGCCATTGTTACATCACGGAACTATAAGAAGATACAGTAATCACAATAATAATTTTGAATATAACAACAGGCAAAAGAAGGGCGAGCTGCCTGTGTGATATTAGCTACAGCAATGTTATGGATGACAGAGGCTGTGCCACTAATGATCACTGCTCTGTTACCTGCTATTATGTTCCCCATGGTCGGCATCATGGACACCAAGGAGGTTATTACTCCTTCATAAACCTTTTTTATTAATTATTCAAATTATTTTTAGTTAATGAAATAGTTTATAACATATCACACTTTCTTTTTTATTCAGAATTTTGACAGGAAAAGAAAGTGTTTTCAAAGCTTCAAAGCTAAATTTCAAATAATTGTGCTTGTACAATGTACAGGTGTGTGACTGCATATAATTAATTACCCTCAAATAATTGTGTTTGTACAGGTCAGTGCGAAGTATTTCAACTATGTAAGTATGTTGATGATGGGTACATTCCTGGTAGCTGAAAGTGTAGAAGCGTGTGGTCTGCACAAAAGGATAGCTCTGAAGATCTTATCACTACTGGGTAGGAAGAATTATCAGATAATTGTTCACAGATAACAGAAAATATGTCTCATTAAAATATAAATTTATGGGAAGCACATCTTTCATTTCATAATTTGACCACTACAGTTTAGAATCGTTTTCTCGTAAAGGAAAAACATAGGATGCAGTAGAATTTAGATAACATTTTCTTATCTAAAAACAGTTTCTTATCTAAAAACAATCTTCTAATTATAACGTGTTATTTGAGGTCGAGGAGAAGCACTCCTGATGCTGGGAGCTAGTCTTTGTACCTGGATACTCTCCATGTTTATGAGCAACACCGCTACAACCGCTATGATGCTCCCTATAGTCGGTAACTGTACTTACTTCTTCAATAGACGTATATTTCATTTCCAGAGCCCATTTTATTTGATAGTCATGAGGATTCACTGAAGAGATTTAAGTCTTGCTTCGCATGAACATTTATAACGTGTACTTGTAAACTAATATTTTGATTGTCGTTGCTGCATACGAATCTTTTAAAACTTTAAACTTATACTCCTGAACCTGTTGACTCTGATATGTTTTCAGGCTCCATACTGCAGAGTTTACGAGAGATAAACCACTCACTAGGAGAGGATCTGTTAACAGTTCACTTTGACAAGGAATCTCCCGGAGATAAGGATCACAGCACAACAGTGGTCAGTGTTACCATGACCACCCCCACTGTTACCATGACCACCCCCACTGTTACCATGACCACCCCCACTGTTACCATGACCACCCCCACTGTTACCATGACCACCCCCACTGTTACCATGACCACCCCCACTGTTACCATGACCACCCCCACTGTTACCATGACCACCCCCACTGTTACCATGACCACCCCCACTGTTACCATGACCACCCCCACTGTTACCATGACCACCCCACTGTTACTATGACCACCCCCACTGTTACCATGACCACCCCCACTGTTACCATGACCACCCCCACTGTTACCATGACCACCCTCACTGATTGGGCTCTGCCAGGCTACAAGCCTATGGTAGCCTAACCCTTGAAACTATCGCCTTCAGAAAAGGTACCATCAAAGCTCACACCACAATCAACAAACAGTTCATGGCTGATCTCAACATACCACCCAAAGCAGTGAGAGACCTATCAATACCAACCATGATGCTTGAACGGCATTTCAAAGTCACCACTCCTGGAGCTAACAACACTGAATATAGAGATTCACTTCAAAACACCATCGAAAACATCTCTAGTGAGACGATCACTTGCTACACAGACGGGTCACGCACAGACTCAGGTAGCGGGGCTGGCTACATCATCACCACTGAAAATAACAACACTACCCTCGAAGAAAGATCTTTCAAGCTTCCTGATCACTGCACTGTTTACCAAACAGAGCTCACTACCATCATCGAAGCTTGCAAATATCTCTCAACTTACAACAACACACACATCATCATATGGTCTGACAGTCTCTCATCCATTCAACCTATATCCTCGATCTCAACGAGGAGTAGAACTACTAGAGACTGTTACGACATCCTCAATGCTATCGGATCCACCAACACTCTAGAGAACCGATGGATAGCTGCACACATCGGATTATGGGGTAATGAAAAAGCAGATGAGCTGGCCAAAATTGGTACAACCAGTGAATCCACTTTGAATTGCCCTATTCCACAATCTTATATCAAACGCCTGATCAACGACAAAGTCTCTAGACTTAACCAGGAAAACTGGTTAGCTGATGGACCCAGACACACCAAACTGACACTCGGCAACAAAAACATCAACATCATCAAAAATCTCAACACTACACTCAGCAACAACAGACAAAATTACAGAATTGCAGTGCACCTCATCACAGTTCATTGTGGCTTGAACAAACACCTCCACAACATCCGCAAATCAAGCACCAGTGCTTGTCCCATGTGCGGTGACGGAGAGGAAACTGTCTCACACTTTATAGCACAGTGTCCGGCTATTGCCTAAGTAAGAGGTCAATATTTCCAGGACTATTACCTCTCCGTTAATGACATATTCGACAACCAACACGTATCCACTATTGTCAACTTCACAAAACGCTTAATAGTGCCAGAGGAGCTGGACCAGACTGGTGTAACATAGCGACTACTTACACGTCGTCGTCGACCTAGCTCACCTTTCTCTTCCACGCCCAGTTGCCACTTAAGCGCTGTGAAGCGTAAATTTATGACACATCTATCAACATTTACCATCATCCTTGATCACACTTTCTATTTCCCCCGGCATCCTACTTTAGGAATGTCATACCCCAGAGGTAGGCAAATCATCCACATGCTATCCTTTTGTGGGCCACCCAGGCCCAGCCTCTCTTTAAAAATTAAAAAAATTAAAAAACCCCCACTGTTACCATGACCACCCCTACTGTTAACATGACAACCCCCACTGTTACCATGACCACCCCCACTGTTATTTCTTGTTTCATTGAACAATTCAATGTTATGCAAATCATCGCAAATCATCGCAAATCATCGCAAATCATCGCAAATCATCGCAAATCATCGCAAATCATCGCAAATCATCGCAAATCATCGCAAATCATCGCAACTCTTCACGCCCTATCTGAGATACTATTTACTATGTACTATGTAGTAAATATCACCAATGATTCAGTAAATTTATTTTTAATTGTAGTTGACGAAATGAGAGTCTCCACTCAGTGTGTTAAAACATAATTCTTTGTCGACGTTTCGGCTACATGCCTTTGTCATAAACAGGACGTACTGAAAACTTACATAGCTGCAAAGATACAATGTTAAAATAATCTATTAAAATAATCTATTAATACTACGAAATATAACAACAACAAATAACATCTTGAAACACAACAACAATCACAAATTTATCCAAAAGAAACATAAAATATAACGGCTAAAAGAATCCAAATCGCAACAAGCCGTGAAGGTGATTGGATAAAATATACTTGGAAGTTAATGTAATATTGAACTTATAAACATAGATAAAATTTTTGATTAATCAGTTTTATGAAGGAGCTATCTTGGTAAAATGTTTGTAGTATTATGAAGAATTGTTCACGGCTTGTTGCGATTTGGATTCTTTTAGCCGTTATATTTTATGTTTCTTTTGGATAAATTTGTGATTGTTGTTGTGTTTCAAGATGTTATTTGTTGTTGTTATATTTCGTAGTATTAATAGATTATTTTAATAGATTATTTTAACATTGTATCTTTGCAGCTATGTAAGTTTTCAGTACGTCCTGTTTATGACAAAGGCATGTAGCCGAAACGTCGACAAAGAATTATGTTTTAACACACTGAGTGGAGACTCTCATTTCGTCAACTACAATTAAAAATAAATGATTGACCCACTCATAAGAGCAAAACAAGATTACCAGATTCAGTAAATTAATGGAAATGGTTTGAATTCTGATCATTTCATCCTGATTTCACCCTGATTTCACCCTGATCAGGACATAATACGAGCAGATGGTTCACGTCCAGACTCAAAAGGCTTCAAATGGTTCTGTAAAGGACTTCTACTCTGTGTTCCGTACGGAGCATCCATCGGTGGCATCGCTACATTAACAGGTTTAGGAGAATACATGCACATTCGCACAGTTTGAATACCACACCGCATGGTACCAAATTATCCTACGACTCAATGATGTAAGGGTATACACCTGAATTATAAGAGCCGGACAGAAAAGTAACCCACCACCACTCCTCAGGGACTCCTCCAAACCTGGTCCTGAAGTCCATCTTCGAGGCAACATTCCCCGGACAGAAGTCAGTGGATTACCAGACGTGGTTCACAGTAGCATTCCCTCTGTCTCTTATCCTGGTGTTCGCAGGGTGGACACTACTTTGTTTAATATACGCGAGGAGTAGTTACTGGTACCTGATTACGGGGAAATTCATATGGGATAAATCAGGTTAGCAACCGTTGCTAATAGCAACATTATAATTAGATTAGTAACTGTTGATAATAGCAACATTGTGACCAGGTTAGCAACTGTTGCTAATAGCAACATGATAATCAGGTTAGCAACTGTTGCTAATAGCAACATAATAATCAGGTTAGCAACTGTTGCTGATAGCAACATGATAATCAGGTTAGCAACTGTTGCTAATAGCAACATGATAATCAGGTTAGCAACTGTTGATAATAGCAACATGATAATCAGGTTAGCAACTGTTGCTAATAGCAACATGATGAGACGATACCAAAATATTAATACTTAACTCTTTTATTTCATCATTGTAAGATTTATATTAAGCGCGATTAAAAAACAATCTTTCCAGGCAAGAACAAAGAGGTACAGAAATGGAGCTACGTGAACAAAGCGATCAGGAAGGAGTATAAGAAGCTAGGTGGTCTGAGATTCCCTGAAATCCTCCTCCTCCTCATGCTACTTCTTCTCATCTTTCTGTGGCTTTTCAGAAAACTTGAAGGCTTCGATGGTTGGGCTGAGGTTAGTTTCCCTTTAGATGTGTTGAACAGGGAGCCTAGAATTAGATCATACAATGTATAAAAAGAAAAACCAAATTTTATTCTTATACATGTAGACTTTGGCACTGCTGCAGGGGAGGTGATAAACTTTTAAAGTGTCTTGTAGAGTTGTGGGGGTGGTCATGGTAACAGTGGTGGTAGTCATGGTAACTAATCTACTGTATTACTGTTGCCTTATGGGGGTGGTTATGGTAACAGTGGTGGTAGTCATGGTAACTAATCTACTGTATTACTGTTGCCTTATGGGGGTGGTTATGGTAACAGTGGTGGTAGTCATGGTAACTAATCTACTGTATTACTGTTGCCTTATGGGGGTGGTTATGGTAACAGTGGTGGTAGTCATGGTAACTAATCTACTGTATTACTGTTGCCTTATGGGGGTGGTCATGGTAACAGTGGTGTTAGTCATGGTAACTAATCTACTATATTACTGTTGCCTGGTAGTCATGGTAACTAATCTACTATATTACTGTTGCCTGTTAGTCATGGTAACTAATCTACTGTATTACTGTTGCCTGTTAGTCATGGTAACTAATCTACTATATTACTGTTGCCTGTTAGTCATGGTAACTAATCTACTGTATTACTGTTGCCTGGTAGTCATGGTAACTAATCTACTGTATTACTGTTGCCTTATGGGGGTGGTTATGGTAACAGTGGTGGTAGTCATGGTAACTAATCTACTGTATTACTGTTGCCTTATGGGGGTGGTTATGGTAACAGTGGTGGTAGTCATGGTAACTAATCTACTGTATTACTGTTGCCTTATGGTGGTGGTCATGGTAACAGTGGTGGTAGTCATGGTAACTAATCTAATGTATTACTGTTGCCTGGTAGTCATGGTAACTAATCTACTATATTACTGTTGCCTGTTAGTCATGGTAACTAATCTACTGCAGTAAGTTTATTAATCAAACTTGACCAGGTTCACGCGAAAGCGATCGGAAATATGAAAGAAAATGGTCAATACAAGATCTACCTGAAGGATGCGTGGGTTGTTATAACTCTAGGACTGTTCCTGTTCATTATTCCTGCAGAGAATCCTTTCAGAGGAATTCTCAAATTTAAACCTCCTCCAGGTTTGTACTTTGATTCGTTTGTTATTAAAGTTGGATGATCGCCAATAAATTATTCGATATTGGTTGACTATGCTATTCAAAAATTCATTCATAAATTTATATTACTTAATTTCTTATCATGCTACTACCGTATTTATTTAACTAATTACCCTGATTAGTTGGATAACTAATAACTAATTATCTAATTATCTACCGTACTAATGTCCAGGTGGAAAGAGGTTCACGAGAGTAAAGAGGTTACTTGATCTGGAAACTGTGATGAAGAAAACACCTTGGGATGTACTGTTTATTCTGGGTGGTGGGTACGCTATCGCTGCTGGTTGTAAGGTAAGAAAACACCTTGGGATGTGCTGTTTATTTTGGGTGTTGGGTACGCTATCGCTGCTGGTTGTAAAGTAAGAAAACACCTTGGGATGTGCTGTTTATTTTGGGTGTTGGGTACGCTATCGCTGCTGGTTGTAAAGTAAGAAAACACCTTGGGATGTGCTGTTTATTCTCGGTGGCGGGTACGCTATAGCTGCTGGCTGTAAGGTAAGAAAACACCTTGGGATGTGCTGTTTATTCTGGGTGGCGGGTACGCTATAGCTGCTGGTTGTAAGGTAAGAAAACACCTTGGGATGTGCTGTTTATTCTGGGTGGCGGGTACGCTATAGCTGCTGGCTGTAAGGTAAGAAAACACCTTGGGATGTGCTGTTTATTTTGGGTGTTGGGTACGCTATCGCTGCTGGTTGTAAGGTAAGAAAACACCTTGGGATGTGCTGTTTATTCTGGGTGGCGGGTACGCTATAGCTGCTCGCTGTAAGGTAAGAAAACACCTTGGGATGTGCTGTTTATTCTGGGTGGTGGGTACGATATAGCTGCTGGCTGTAAGGTAAGAAAACACCTTGGGATGTGCTGTTTATTCTGGGTGGTGGGTACGATATAGCTGCTGGCTGTAAGGTAAGAAAACACCTTGGTTATCTCTTATAGCTGCTGGCTGTAAGGTAATTGTTTTGAAACGCCACCAGGATAATTTCTAATTAGATTCGTTCATTAACGACAAAATTTTAAAATTTTAACGAAAAAAACGTATCAATGTATCTTATACAAATATTGTATAATACTGCATAATAATCGTTGTCAAACGTAATTCTTGTACAGGTTTAACCCACTTATACTGTTTATAGTCCATAAATGAGAGCTCGAAACTCGGAAAAGCTAATTTTCCCATCAGTATTAAGATCCGCTTCTTCTAACAAGTACATAATGTCCTCTGTTAGAATTCCAACGTCTGCTTTTTGCATCGCTACCGCTACCTTCAGGAAGTTGAGATCAGTCAAATTATCATGAAAATAACCCTTATAAAGTTCGAGCATTGGTGGAGATATAAACAAAGTTAGAATTAGAATGAACAAAATTCGAAAGAATGAGGTCTAATGGCATAAACGCCATTACACTCCATAACACTCCATAACACGCCATAACACTCCATAACACTCCATAACACTCCATAACACTCCATAACACTCCATAACACTCCATAACACTCCATAACACTCCATAACACTCCATAACACTCTTCTCACCTCTTCGTGTGACACCTCCCCGCTTCCGTCTTCATCTATCAAATTAAAAGCGTCCACAACTTCGTCTGAGTTTGGTTTTTCTGCCATTATCTCCTCAATGTACGCCATCAGCTCATCAAAGTCTACAGTTCCGTCCTGGTCTGTGTCTACCTTTAAAGAAACTCATTGAATAATTATGCAATTATGCAATTAAGCAATTGTACAATTAATCGGATTCTGAACGTAGACTTAAAATATGTATTTTAGACTTTAAATTGGCGTCAGACTTAAAATTGGTACTAAACTGAAGGTTACCAGTATTTTCACAAATGGAAATCGATGTTATTTATTTATGCAATTATACATATTGTTATCTATTTTATTTACCACGTACGGTAATGTATATAAGTCAAACCTGCCCAAGCTAGAGAGCCACGTACGGTAATGTATATATAAGTCAAACCTGCCCAAGCTAGAGAGCTGCACGTACGGTAATGCTTCCAGACAAAGTGAAGATATTTTGACATAAGTCGTAAAATAACAGTAGAATGTAGACTAAAATAAATCTTTAAATTATAAAAAGGCACCCACACGAAAAAAAAAACCTTGATCAAATTTGCAAGGCTATAAAATCATAACAAAAACAGTGGTGGTAGTCATGGTAACTAAAACTGTAGTAACCTTTTCAAAGAAAGCCTTCAGATCCTCTTTCAGAGCAATGACATTAAAATTAGCAAACATTTTCTGCAGCTCATCCAGCTCCAGTGTCCCGTTTGCATCTATATCATAAGTTTTAAACATGCTTTTCATCTCCGTCTCCTCCTCCTTAGTCAACGTACTGGTACTAAACTCCATCTTCAAGCTTTCAAGGCATTCGTATCTAAGGAGGAACATTTGTTTAAGTTGAGAGTGAATCATGGCAGTAAATAAAGTTGGAATCACCTAGAATTGCAAAACAACTTTGTTACTGCCGACTCTGCACCGACTAATAGCTGCTATGTCTGCACAAATAAAAGGTAAATCGGTTGTTAAACCAGTTAAACGACAGTATTGAACATATTACATTTGATTTTACAATTATTATTATGAAAGTATTCTTGTGAGGTCTGGTATTGCATGTAACGTAGGATGTATCAGTAAATGTCACTGAGCTAAAATATTAACTGTATTAAATATAGTGGCAAGAATGTTATGATAATACAAAAAAATCTAACGATTTTAAGCATCGAAATTGTAGATTGCAGCCTTGCGTCTAAGATGAGATATACATAACATACCACGTGTTACCATGGTAACATGTGTTCAAACAGGAATCTTGATAATAACAGCCTTGCGTCTAAGATATGATATAGTTTTATAGATTTATATTAACAGGAAACGATGTCCGGTAGTTTCATTGCGTCCTAATATACACAAAATATGGCTTATCAGCGTGCGCGGGAATATATTATGTACATAGCGGGTCTGCCAATGACTGTGGCTACAACGTGGGAATTATCAGTAAATGCCACTGTGGTAAAATTCTAACCACAGCCGAACTGCCGAAGCTGTTAGAAGTTATAACCACAAATGAAACCCGGAAGCCTCCTAATTATTTAAAATGCTAAACGTATGATGGGGATGGAAATGCTTTTCAGAGTTTTAGAAGAATCACCCAAGTTGCAGCAGAACAAAGACAAAATTAAAATTATAATTGGTCTAATTCAGTCTTGAAAATAGTCCTAGGCTATAATTAAATTTAAAACGCATTAAAACAATCGTTTGAAAATGTAATCCCAAAATAAACTTCTATTTCAGGGACACAGAGCTTGACATAAATTATAATAAAGGTATAATTGGTATCCGGCGGACAAAAGGCGGAATGAGGCATAATTATGACTAATTATGAGTAGAATAAATACATGAAATGACCAAGGAGAACACTAATACTTGCACTAATTTGTATGTTAAAATGAAACCAAGTTTTAGAATATTTTTGACTACATCTATTGAGAATTGAGGAATGCCCAAAATGAGATCATGCATAAATAAAGAAATAAAGCTATCCAATCTTAATTTATGTAGTCAGAAACGCCCAAAATAAGATTTCGATTCTCGTGCATAAAGTTACCAGTCGGGGATAAATTGTCGAGTAAACCATTATTATAAATAGTTAGCAAACTATGTATTATAATGGTACTGTTTTTAACTTTTAACCCTATTTATAATTACCCCTTAAGGTTTACTAGGTGATAATTCGACTAATTGTCAATCAAATCACTGTGTTGGAATATAGGATCATCAAGTCCGCTAAATATTTATATTGCCCACTTTCATTGTCGCCCTGATGGCCATAATATAACTTGAAGAATGAGTATCGTCGAAACAATTACAATTTATGTGGATCAAAAGCAACTAATAGTAATATTAGCCAGTAGCCAGTCGTTCAAATAAACAATAGACTTAGAGAAACAAATAATATATTCAACCACAAACTGAATTCCAGGCCATCTATCTGAAATAGATACGTTTGCGTGCCGTGTCTATGTTTATTATCGACAGCCTTATCCGAAAGAAAATAGAAAATCCAAGCAGACTAAATTAATGACTGTTGTAAATTGTAGCTACCAAATATTCGTACCACGTGTTACCATGGTAACATGTGTTTACTTATGTTATGGTATCATGTGATTAAGCTACCAACTATTTACTACTTTACTATTATATTTCGTGCCGATCAACCCTATAGAAGATTGATAAGGTCCGTTTTACAATCAGTTTTCGTCCTTTCCTGTAGGTGTTAAAAAAGAGTTAAAAATGTTTGATAATTCCGTATATGCGACCAAGGGGAACTTTTCTTTTCAGGTAAAGGAAACTTAATCTCTAAACGAGTTTTAATAATTTCAACACTGCTATATACTTATATAACACTGTTATATATAATAAATAATTTGAGATCATGAATACGATGTTGTAACATTGAACGTTGAGTAAATTCCTTTCCTGATAAGAGCATTTTTCCTTGTCGCATCAAACGGGAATACAATTTTACACAAGAATACTGTGAACTCTAGACATCACAACAATGCGACTTATAAATGATGTTACTATCCGGGTAATTCAAGAAAATGGGAAGTATCTAAGCATAAAAAGTTCAGTGAAACATCTATTACAGTATTTACCGACTAACGAACATATCAGAAAGAAATCTACCAGAACCAAATCCATCGAACATATCAAAAAGAAATCTACCAGAACCAAATCCATCAGACAAACGCATATCTTTAAATCTAGCCGCTCTAGAACCTGGAACGACGACAACTGTATTCCTACTGTGATGAACTGTATGCCGTCTTATGATGAACGATCAGATATATTATACCCTATCATTCATATCCCGGTAAAGTTCATATTTCCTACAGTCTACAAAACAGAGTGCAGTTGGTCAGTTACAGCCGCCGCTTATAGCTGGATCAACTTGTACAGTTACTAGGAAATTTAATGCCAGCAAGTAAAGTCATGATGTCAAATCAGGGAGAAACATGGAGCAAGTCTTTACAAAAATAGGTCGCAATGGCCAATGCGTTGTTATAAAAAACATGTATTGAAAATAGTTGGAGCTTTATAAGATTAGTGAATATAATAAGACTAACCAGAGTTGGACTGAATGTTGAGGCTGAGTTAGCTTCACAAACCTAGCTGTAGACTGACAGACTAATCATGTATATATGGACACGTTCATTTTAGTTTGAGGATATCGGTAAATATTAGTGGCCCTATTAAATGGCACGACGAGGTAAAATTTGTCACACTATGAAATTATATAAACCCTCAATGGTTAGGATAATCGTATCATCCTCTAGGCAAACTTTGTCACATAACTACATATATCAGATGATAAGATTTCGCTTAAATTAGGCAGTGAGATGTAAAGTAGATCTAGCCATCCAATAGTTTAATGAACATCCCAGAGAGTTAATCAGTCCTGAAAATGGGACAAATATCTAAAATCTTCAAAAGATATAAAAATAAAGCTCGGATAAAACTTCATGAAATTATGCATTAAATAAGCCTGAAATTAAATATTCTACACCATAATATTCTACCTAATAATATACCGAAGGGTAACTTATCGTCCTAGATATACAATATTAATAATGATTATAATGATGATATTAGTAATTATACATACTCTATATTTAGAGAAACATATATTTACCCAAAAGTCAAAAAGTATAAATACAAGAGAATGAGAATAAAATTTCAACACTATAATAATAATAATAACCTGGTTTTATTCCCTTGCGCCCCGGTTTTCTTCCCTTGCGCCCGGTTTTCTTCCCTTGTACCCGGTTTTCTTCCCTTGCGTAGCAAGCCCTGTCTCTTGTAAAAACAACCTCGAAAGATTTGTAGATACACATAGTCTCTACACCTTTACCCTCTGGTCCCTAGGGTCAGCTGACTCCGGGCCAGAGGAATATTACCGATTGCCAAGGTTTGATGCCTAGGCAGTCGAGACCTCTTATTGAGACCCGATATAATAATAACTAGAAATTTATACATCGCTTTATAGCCAAAAAGAACTCAAAATCCAAAAAATTCAGTTCAAGCCATTTAAAGCGACTCATAAACATGTTCACAAGAACTTAGAATTTAATGAAGTATGGTTTTTATGAGAAAGATATTATATGATACTTAGATGAATACTTTTTCAAAGAGATGAGTCTCTAGTCTCTTTTTAAACAAGACAATATTGGTCAATGTTATCTATAATCACCATGGCAACACTATTATAAAGTTATAAGTATAATCACCATGGCAACACTATAATTACAATGGCAACACTATAAGTATAATCACCATGGCAACACTATAAGTATAATCACCATGGCAACACTATAAGTATAATCACCATGGCAACACTATAATAACCATGGCAACACTATAATAACCATAGCAACACTATAATAACCATGGCAACACTATAATCACCATGGCAACACTATAATCACCATGGCAACACCCCCAGGATTCAGGACTATCAGCCTGGATCGGAGAACAGTTTAGTTTCCTCCACAACAGCCCCCATGTCGTGATCGCACTGGTGGTTTCCTCTTTTGTAGCGGTACTCACCGAGTTCGCTTCAAACACCGCCTCTACTACCCTACTTCTACCAGTTCTAGTGTCGCTTAGTCAGGCTATCACTGTAAGTGTCTGTATGCGGGTTAGCTTTTTAATGTTTTTAATGTTAGCTTTCTAATGTTTTTCATGTTAGCTTTTTATGTTTTTCATGGAAATTCAGATTTCAAACTTTTATGGAAATTTTATTGCTTTATTATTATAAACTTTACCATAGATTAGCTCAAACTAAAGGAATGAAATATTTGAGAGGTTTTTTAAATGAACTATAGTGCCAGTACGATAACTCACAAAAATAATTATAAAGGAGTTATAACTGTTTAACTGTTTAAATATTCAATTTTGTAAATAAAACAAACTGTCAACAGGTTCACCCATTGTACCTAATGATGACTGGGACCCTATCAGCTTCACTTGCCTTCTGTTTACCTTCTGCTACTGGGCCTAATGCGCTAGTGTTCGCCTACCCTGAGATTAAAGTTATTGATATGGTTAGTTGTTATACAAATCTACCAATATTTATTTTATTCCGCAGTAGATTAATATTGGATATTGATTATTGATGAATAGAAAGGTAAAATGCTGGTACATACAACCAGCTCAGTAACCATGGTAATCAGCCCAGCAACCATGGTAACCAGCTCAGTAACCATGGTAACCAGCCCAGCAACCATGGTAACCAGCTCAGTAACCATGGTAACCAGCTCAGTAACCATGATAACCAGCCCAGTAACCATGGTAACCAGCTCAGTAACCATGGTACCCAGCCCAGTAACCATGGTAACCAGCTCAGTAACCATGGTAACCAGCTCAGTAACCATGGTAAAAGATGTTGATCAGTTAACAAACTAACATAAAAACCTTTTCCTCAGATCAGAACAGGACTAGTAATGAACTTTGTGTGTGTGTTATTAACAGTAGCAGCTACTTCTACCTGGGTCTACACCATGCTAGACTTATCAGAGTACCCTTGTTGGGCAGATCCAAACGACAACATAACATGTACCTTCACACCATAACATGTACCTTCACATTATAACATGTACCTTCACATCATAACATGTACCTTCACAACATAACATGTACCTTCACAATATAACATGTACCTTCACAACATAACATGTACCTTCACACCATAACATGTACCTTCACATTATAACATGTACCTTCACACCATAACATGTACCTTCACATCATAACATGTACCTTCACATCATAACATGTACCTTCACAACATAACATGTACCTTCACAATATAACATGTACCTTCACATCATAACATGTACCTTCACACCATAACATGTACCTTCACAACATAACATGTACCTTCACACCATAACATGTTTACCTTCACATCATAGCATGTACCTTCACATCATAGCATGTACCTTCACACCATAACATGTACCTTCACACCATAACATGTACCTTCACAACATAACATGTACCTTCACACCATAACATGTACCTTCACACCATAACATGTACCTTCACAACATAACATGTACCTTCACAACATAACATGTACCTTCACAACATAACATGTACCTTCACAACATAACATGTACCTTCACACCATAACATGTACCTTCACAACATAACATGTACCTTCACAACATAACATGTACCTTCACAACATAGCATGTACCTTCACAATATAACATGTACCTTCACAACATAACATGTACCTTCACACCATAACATGTACCTTCACACCATAACATGTACCTTCACATTATAACATGTACCTTCACATCATAACATGTACCTTCACAACATAACATGTACCTTCACAACATAACATGTACCTTCACAACATAACATGTACCTTCACACCATAACATGTACCTTCACAACATAACATGTACCTTCACACCATAACATGTACCTTCACACCATAACATGTACCTTCACAACATAACATGTACCTTCACAACATAACATGTACCTTCACAACATAACATGTACCTTCACATCATAACATGTACCTTCACACCATAACATGTACCTTCACAACATAACATGTACCTTCACAACATAACATGTACCTTCACAACATAACATGTACCTTCACACCATAACATGTACCTTCACAACATAACATGTACCTTCACACCATAACATGTACCTTCACACCATAACATGTACCTTCACAACATAACATGTACCTTCACAACATAACATGTACCTTCACATCATAGCATGTACCTTCACAACATAACATGTACCTTCACACCATAACATGTACCTTCACAACATAACATGTACCTTCACAACATAACATGTACCTTCACACCATAACATGTACCTTCACAACATAACATGTACCTTCACATCATAACATGTACCTTCACACCACAACATGTACCTTCACAACATAACATGTACCTTCACACCATAACATGTACCTTCACACCATAACATGTACCTTCACAATATAACATGTACCTTCACACCATAACATGTACCTTCACAACATACATGTACCTTCACACCATAACATGTACCTTCACCATAACTGTACCTTCACAACATAACATGTACTTCCACAACGACTAACATGTACCTTCACAACATAACAGTACTTCACACCATAACATGTACTTCACAACATAACATGTACCTTCACAACATAACATGTACCTTCACTACATAACATGTACTTCACACCATATCATGTACCTTCACACCATAACATGTACTTCACACCATAACATGTACCTTCACACATAACATGTACCTTCACAACATACATGTCACCTTCACACATAACATGTACCTTCACACCATACATGTACCTTCACACCATAACATGTACTTCACACCATAACATGTACCTTCACACCATAACATGTACCTTCACACCATTAACATGTACCTTCACAACCATAACATGTACCTTCACAACATAACATGTACCTTCACACCATAACATGTACCTTCACACCATAACATGTACCTTCACACCATAACATGTACCTTCACAACATAACATGTACCTTCACACCATAACATGTACCTTCACACCATAACATGTACATTCACAACATAACATGTACCTTCACACCATAACATGTACCTTCACAACATAACATGTACCTTCACACCATAACATGTACCTTCACACCATAACATGTACCTTCACACCATAACATGTACCTTCACAACATAACATGTACCTTCACACCATAACATGTACCTTCACAACATAACATGTACCTTCACACCATAACATGTACCTTCACACCATAACATGTACATTCACAACATAACATGTACCTTCACAACATAACATGTACCTTCACAACATAACATGTACCTTCACACCATAACATGTACCTTCACAACATAACATGTACCTTCACACCATAACATGTACCTTCACAACATAACATGTACCTTCACAACATAACATGTACCTTCACATTATAACATGTACCTTCACACCATAACATGTACCTTCACATCATAACATGTACCTTCACACCATAACATGTACCTTCACACCATAACATGTACCTTCACACCATAACATGTACCTTCACAACATAACATGTACCTTCACACCATAACATGTACCTTCACAACATAACATGTACCTTCACAACATAACATGTACCTTCACACCATAACATGTACCTTCACACCATAACATGTACCTTCACACCATAACATGTACCTTCACACCATAACATGTACCTTCACAACATAACATGTACCTTCACAACATAACATGTACCTTCACAACATAACATGTACCTTCACAACATAACATGTACCTTCACAACATAACATGTACCTTCACAACATAACATGTACCTTCACACATAACATGTACCTTCACAACATAACATGTACCTTCACAACATAACATGTACCTTCACACCATAACATGTACCTTCACATCATAACATGTACCTTCACACCATAACATGTACCTTCACAACATAACATGTACCTTCACAACATAACATGTACCTTCACAACATAACATGTACCTTCACAACATAACATGTACATTCACAACATAACATGTACCTTCACATCATAACATGTTTACCTTCACACCATAACATGTACCTTCACGCCATAACATGTACCTTCACACCATAGCATGTACCTTCACATCATAACATGTACCTTCACAACATAGCATGTACCTTCACAACATAACATGTCCCTTCACAACATAACATGTACCTTCACACCATAACATGTACCTTCACAACATAACATGTACCTTCACATCATAACATGTACCTTCACAACATAACATGTACCTTCACAACATAACATGTCCCTTCACAACATAACATGTACATTCACAACATAACATGTACCTTCACATCATAACATGTACCTTCACACCATAACATGTACCTTCACACCATAACATGTACCTTCACAACATAACATGTACCTTCACATCATAGCATGTACCTTCACAACATAACATGTACCTTCACAACATAACATGTCCCTTCACAACATAACATGTACATTCACAACATAACATGTACCTTCACATCATAACATGTACCTTCACACCATAACATGTACCTTCACGCCATAACATGTACCTTCACACCATAGCATGTACCTTCACAACATAGCATGTACCTTCACAACATAACATGTCCCTTCACAACATAACATGTACCTTCACACCATAACATGTTTACCTTCACAACATAACATGTACCTTCACACCATAAATACAATACATAGGTATTAATAACTTCAAGCCTTGTACATTGTATATTGTACATTGTTTATTGTACATTGTACATCGCACATAATACATTGTACATTGTACATTGTACTGGAGAGTGGAATTCCTCAGAAACTAAATCAATAGCAGATAAAACTCCGACTACTCATTATAAAGTCAAATATTTGAGTAACTTTATAAAATTTTCAGTCAAGATCGACAAAACTTAAACTAATTCACCAGCAGTGAAGTTGTTTTTTCTTAAGGTCGAATGTTTAAAAACTATTGAGATAATGACCGTAAAAGTTTAAAAATTAAATTATCAAACGCCCAATGTATAACGATATGATATTTATATTAGACGACTGTTCATCATAAGGGTTAAGGGTTTATTTCAAATGAACTGTACGATAATTACCAGCAATCAGGTTTCATCCTGGATTTAAACAGTAGCCGTAATGTGTATTTTAATTGGAAAAATATTTAACATGATTTACTTTTAGCAGGGAATAAACTCAATGATATTATCAAATTATTCTATTGTCCTGTATCTTTGTTATGGACTTAACATTCTTAACATTCTTAACATTCTTAACATTCTTAACATTCTTAACATTCTTAACATTCTTAACATTCTTAACATTATTTTCATTCTATATTAATGTTAAAATCAAAAGTATTCCTGTATGCAGTTTCGGGGGGTTTACCCTGATTTTTTGTTAAATTTGATTTAGAAATAGCAACTGACCAACAAACTAAGGCCTGTGACCGAACTTTTGAGGGGGTTCCGGACTCCGGGTGCCCACTGGTGCCCGCGGGATAGCCTTGCCCATATTTGGTCCCAATTTGAATTATGCCAAATCACCTTAGCATGCTCAAAACCATGCTTTTTTGGGGTGCTTTTGTAGCTACTACTGAACACTACTGATAAAATTTAATTAACGTAGAATTGCATGTCGACCTTAAGTTTTGGAGTAAAATTGTGAATTAGACCTTTAAAACAATTTGGCCGCCAAATTTTAAAAGTTTCTAAAATGTAGCGCGCTGTGGCCTGCTGTGCGCCTGAATGTAAATGTCAATTGTCAAAACAGCGAATTCAGTATCAACCATGCCTGTAAAAACTTTTAAAGTTTTAGGCAGGACTATCGAAAGCTGCATCCTGTTCAAATTCGGTAAGCTGATGGGTATTAATGGCAAACATGTCGCCCTAGTTGAAATTGCGTTGTTTTTGAAGATTTTGCTTATGCAAAATACCTAGCTGAGAAATTTGGCACTATAGTGATCATTTTCAAGAACGATTCAAATAATACGATATTAAATGCATATTAGAGCCAGCCAGCAGCTCTTCCTAAATAAGGTTAAGTGTGAGTCGAAAAAGAGATGCATAGTGTATTCATTGGAAGAATTTCAGAAAGTTTGCTTTCAGGATTGAAATCTAGCAATAAATTTGGATTACAGGGTAAGTTATGTTTTGTTGTTGTTGTTGCTGTACCCATGGTAACCAGCTCAGTAACCATGGTAACCAGCTCAGTAACCATGGTAACCAGCTCAGTAACCATGGTAACCAGCTCAGTAACCATGGTAACCAGCTCAGTAACCATGGTAACCAGCTCAGTAACTGTTGTTGTTGTAGCTGAGCTTACTGTATGATTGTAGCTTTTGTAGGCTGCTATAAACCCCTCCGGGATACTGCTAAGGAACGGGATAAAAAATAAGTTGGAGCGTTTTTTGTAAATACTTAAATAATCCCTGGCCTGCACAGTTTTAACAATACTATTACTACTCCTTATTCACTTAACCCGGTTTGGTATGTTGAGTGATACTTCGTCTTTGACAGCAGACAGGGGTGTAGAAATGGTTTTCTTCGTGAGGGGAGCAAAATCTTAGAGTTTTTCTTGACTTACGTTGCATGCCACTTTTCGCGCGCTTTGATATTTGGGATACGTAACACAGGATTACACAGGATTAATTAAAAATAATCTGTGTGTGATTCCTAAGTCAACGGCATTCCTGGAACAAAATTAGAGGTTTGGACTTTGGATTTATGATATCTATTATTCTTTTATACATATATATTATTTAATGGATAATTTTGGGTTACTTTGACGTGTCATGTCCTGTAGGAGCAGGCTAGATGTTGTTTTAGAATTTGCTTAAGATCGAATCTCAAAAACCTTAAATTGATCATGATATGATTTATGAGTCCATAAAAACGATGATTTTATTCAACATTCAAGAGTAAGTTTTAGTAAAAACTGAGCATAAACAGCAAACATCAGCCTAAAATAACAAATAAAGCATAAATTATCAATAATAAAGCAACATATCAACATTTATTACAATACCCAGGATCTCAATCTCTCAATGAATTATATGTAGTAAAACCGCGCCCCGATTTACCGCAAACCCCGAATTACCGCGGCTTTTTTCTTTCTCCCTTACCCGCGGTAAATCGGAAAGTAAAGGTAAAACTCGCGTCGAAGCCCTGTGCTTACCCCGGTAAAAGTAATGAATGTGGAAAGTAAAGGTAAAACTTGAAGCCCTGTGCTTACCCCGGTAAAATTAATGAATGTGGAAAGTAAAGGTAAAATTTGAAGCCCTGTGCTTACCCCGGTAAAATTAATGAATGTGGAAAGTAAAGGTAAAACTTGAAGCCCTGTGCTTACCCCGGTAAAATTAATGAATGTGGAAAGTAAAAGTAAAACTCGCAGCCATTTGCTTACCTCGGTAAAATTAATGAATGTGCAAAGTAAAGGTAAAACTTGAAGCCCTGTGCTTACCCCGGTAAAACTAATTAATATGGAAAGTAAGGTAAAACTTGCAGTTTACTACATATGGCCGTCTCTGTAAAGTTTACCGCACATGTGAAGAAGACCGGAGATTAGAAGTACTGCCCCCACTAGTAGCAGTGTGGGTGGATATCAGGGAGACTACAGATAGTTGTGTGTTGGGACCCCCCCTCTTCTTCTTTTTCTTCTTCCTGTCCCCAGGCTGGACTGTCATCACCTCGTCTAGCGAGGAGGTGGACTTGGAGTTAGCGTCCACTGTTCTACTGTGTAGTGTCTTCTGTACAGGTGTCTTGGTGGTGCAGCCCACGTGGAGGAGGAACCTTTCTAATGTGTTCTTGTAGGCTTTTCTGAAGACGGGGTTTACCAAACCGTATATTATAGGGTTCACTGAAATTGTGGTTGGGTAAGATTTCACTATGAGGTTGTATGGTCGTGGTTTTTTTTTAAAGGGCGAATGTAAAATCACTATGGCTTAAAAATAGGTCTTATAGAGGTCTATCATATCCCGAAAAGTTTGAAGCTCTATCGTGCCAAGTTTAGATTTTTAAACTTTCAAAGGGCGAATGTTATTTTCGAGATTTCAAATGCCGAATGTTACTGTCACCAAAATGTAATTAGATCGAACGCAGAAATTAAATCGAACCGGTTCGATCTAGGAATTAGATCGAACGCGCGGCGCGGCTTTCAATGTATTTATAATTATATATGTATCTCGCGCCAGCGTTCGATCTAATTCCTAGATCAAACCGGTTCGATCTAATTTTTGCGTTCGATCTAATTACATCTTGGTGACAGTTATACAATATGTTATACATACAATGTCACACATTCGCCCTTAAACTCACTGCAACCAATAAGATTATTCAGCTCAAACCATTTCAACAGATATTAACTCCGGAGATAGATATATTAGATATAGCATGAATATTTTTATACATTAAGAGAATTAAAAAAATATATATATACTTTCAAATTGTTACACGAATACATAATTGTATTTCAAAGAAAATTCGCCAAATGAGCATGAACATGCCTCGACAGTTGACAAGTGACCAAGTGTAAAAAGAATAAGGGTCACTGAAACAGATGACCGGTACACTAGCCATGTCAATTATTTTATCTATGGAACAAAGGGAGATTAATGGAAATAATACCTGCATTGTTGAAAAGAAGAAGCCAGTGGAAAGCGACAAATATTTTGAATGAGATTGCAGTAGATCCAGTGATAAAGCTGAACATTCCTGAAAAGTAGTGTTTTATATTTATGTTACAAGAGATTAGTTCTTATAATGGAGGTTGGCAACTCTCTCTATTAAAGTATTAATGGCCTCATGTGGGAAGCCTTCTCACTGTGCCCTCAGAGTGAAACTCCTGCTAGCTACAGCCAAGGACTCCCTAAGTATGATATACAAAATCATAAAATAATATATATTCATTAATTGAAACTTATTGTTTCATTGAATAGATATTGGATATGAAGGTTAACAAGATCGGGCGGGTGTTGCTTTAAGCCCTAACCCAAACTTTGATTTGATCATTTTGGTCTAAAGACGATAACAGAAGGGGGAGGGGTCTAAGACAAGCCCCCCCCCCCTTCTGCAGCTCACCTAATATTAATATAGGAAGAAGACAAGACCCCCCCCCCCCCTGCAGCTCACTTAATATGGATATAGGAAGAAGACAAGACCCCCACCCCCCCTGCAGCTCACCTAATATTGATATAGGAAGAAGACAAGACCCCCCCCCCCCTGCAGCTCACCTAATATGGATATATGGAGAAGACAAGACCCCCACCCCCCCCCCTGCAGCTCACCTAATATTGATATAGGAAGAAGACAAGACCCCCCCCCTGCAGCTCACCTAATATGGATATATGGAGAAGACAAGACCCCCACCCCCCCCACCCCCCCTGCAGCTCACCTAATATTGATATAGGAAGAAGACAAGACCCCCCCCCCTGCAGCTCACCTAATATTGATATAGGAAGAAGACAAGACCCCCCCCCCCCCCCCCCCCTGCAGCTCACCTAATATTGATATAGGAAGAAGACAAGACATCATCATGCCAATTATGATAAGGATCATGAGAGCTGCCCGCAGGTTATTTTGCTGTCGCGACTGCTTTTTACAGTCCTTCTTGTTGTTTGAGATGTTGGTTGCTTTCTTTCCATGTCTCTGAGATACCTAAATAATTACTGGTTAATTTTAGTGTCATATATATATATATCAATATATTACATTACATGACATTTGGCGAATGAATCGTTGTTATAATTTTAAATCTTCCATAATTGATATTCGATGTGTATTCAATGAGCAAAGAAAAATGTTATGGAAAACAGAATATATCCTGAAGAGGAATCACAAGAATAACAAGAATAACAAGAATAACAAGAATAACAAGAATAACAAGAATAACAAGAATAACAAGAATAACAAGAATAACAAGAATTGCAAGAATTACAAGAATTACAAGAATTACAAGAATTACAAGAATTACAAGAATTACAAGAATTACAAGAATTACAAGAATTACAAGAATTACAAGAATTACAAGAATTACAAGAATTACAAGAATTACAAGAATTACAAGAATTACAAGAATTACAAGAATTACAAGAATTACAAGAATTACAAGAATTACAAGAATTACAAGAATTACAAGAATTACAAGAATTACAAAATTACAAGAATTACAAGAATTACAAGAATTACAAGAATTACAAAAATTACAAGAATTACAAGAATTACAAAAATTACAAGAATTAAAATAATAAGAATAACAATAATTACCCTGAAGATGTGAAAGTAAAAGAAGACAATAAATCCGAGCGGAAGAGGCACAAAGAATATGGTGTAGACAGTACAGTACACGAACCCCCACCCTTTGTCGTCACAGTTCAACCCACAGGAGAAAGCAAAGGGACTGTACTTGTAGTAGGCGAATTTCACCTGTTCCGTAGGTACATTAATTAAATGAAATACTTTTTATAATCGTAAAAATTTTGTTCCCTAGCTCCTGAGCTCCACTCAAAAAATTATAAATAAAAAATTATATTATGACAGTATAATCAGTACTCAGTATGCGTACCGATTGCAATAACTAAACGTGTAAATCGGGATTCAATAAAGCTGAAGACGCGACGATTCGTCTCAAAACTTTTCATCTATCATAGCAGTTCGAATGTAAATTTAATTTAAATTCGTACCCTACACAATCTAATCTGACCGCAAAACATCAAAGCAGTAACTACGGCTTAAAAATAGACACATAAAATATATGGGTATACCTGAAAAAGGGGGATGATGGTGAAACAACACGACACAAACCAAATAACCCCTATCATTATCAGAGCTTTTCTCTTCGTCATGGAGGATCTGTAACTGTGGGGCCTACACAGCATGTAGTATCTGAACATAATATTCAGGAATATTCAGTAATATTCAGTAATATTCAGTAACATTCAGTTATATTCAGTTATATTCAGTAATATTCAGGTATATTCAGTAATATTCAGGTATATTCAGTAATATTCAATAATATTCAGTGATGTTCAATAATATTTAATAATATTCAGTAATATTCAGTGATATTCAATAATATTCAGTAGGTAATATTCAATAATATTTAGTAATATTCAGTAATATTCAGTAATATTCAGTAATATTCAGTAATATTAAATAATAAGGACGCATACTGGTAACTGGTATGATTCTTAAAACAGCAGGCTCTCTACGTAGAACAGCGAAAAAGCATTAAATAAAATCGTCTGGAAATTATGTTCCATAGTGTATTTTCGGTATCTTTTGTGTATTTAATGATACTTATAGTGTATTTAATGGTACTTATAATGTATTTAACGTTACTTATAGTGTATTTAATGTTACTTATAGTGTATTTAATGGTATCTCTACAACATAACTTAAATCTTCTCATACCTGTCGAAACTACAGAAAGCGACAGTCCAGACACTAGCAAAGAGAACAGTGTTATCAATGAAGGCTGAGAAGGCACAGGCCCAGTCGGGGAGGAGCCAGGCGTTAGCGACCACTGACACGAAAGTTATAGGCATGTTCCACACACCTGGCCATTACAAATGTTATTTGTTTATTTTTCAAAAGATTTAATATATGAGGGAAATAGGAACTATGACCGAAGAATGTGTTTGAGATTGTTCAGCCAGTAAAATTATATCGTTTGAGTAGATATATATTATATATTATATACAATATATATACAATATATACATTATACAATGTACAATATACATATCTTGAGGTCGTGTTACTGTGACAGCTATTATGCATCAGATCAAGTTTAAATTTTAATCAGATTAACTTTAAATTTTAACAGGGCGATTCAGATTTTTTTAATAAAGCCGTATCAATTGCGATAGCTGCTGCTGTAAAATTGGTTGATTACATTTTTAAGTAATTGATCAGTAAATAGTGCAAAAATTCAATTATTGGAAAGAAATGAAAAGTAATATAGCTTAATAAATATGACAGTAACAACGTGTACAATTCATTACATCTTAATCTTTAACACGTGTCACTATTTAAATGGGCATCACGTGTCAATAATGTCGGCTTTTGATTAATATCTACCATGAAACTATGCAGCATACGCAGATTCTAAAGTTTAAATCTTGTGGAGAACATACTTTTATTTAAACGTTTACTTTATGTCTATTTTACTTATATTTTGCTTGTACGATAATCACACTTACCCACAATCATGTCAGTCAGAGAAAGGTTAAAGATAAAGAGATTGCTGATCCTCTGAAGACTTTTGTTACACAAAATGGATACCCAGAGGAGGAAGTTACCTGTTGTGTATTTTAATGTTTAATGTTATGCAATATAATGATTAATAAGTATATACTCTTATATTAACCATATTTATCTTAGCCCAGGATTTGATAATTAATTATTATTAATAACGACGAGACCCAGAAGAGAAAGTTACCGAAGGTAGCGAGAAAGGAAAAGAGGGCTATGCTCAGGGCTAGGAGGGATCTTTCCAGATCGGTAAAGGGGGGCGCTTCTGCCCCAGCTACCATTCTCTGTCTGCTATATTCTGATGAATTCGTTATCTAAATCATTTTAGACATGAATATGGTGTAGTGAAATGTCAATTATTTCCTTTACCTGAAAAAAGAATATTCCTTTGTTGCAATACACGAAATCACTAAAATTTTCATCAGAAACATAGTTTGTTGTTTAATTGATTAATTTTGATTTACTAATCAAATATTTATTAAGTTATAAGTGTACTGATGATGAAAGAAAATATTCCCTTATTAATGTTATAAAGATATTATCAAGAAATACTATTTAATCCTTCTGAAAAGTTCAAAATAAAACCAATTCAGTCAAAGGAATCGGAGTAATTCCGTTTGAGAAAAATAATAAATCCAAATAAAATGGCCCATGATTGTAGGATAGTAATTATTCCTAATAAAGATAAATATTTTTGAACGTTTCCGTGGGTTACGGACATGCTGAGTCATATTACCAGGCCAAAAAATCAGATACCAAGAAGATCTTTCTAAACGAGTGGTAACTCAGACAAATTGACATTCAGAGAATTGAACGATGAAATGTAACCCAAATTCTCAAATCCGAAATCCAAGAACAAGAGCGTTCCCGAAGTGTTCCAAAAAGGATTTAACCCGATCCTCCTCAAGATTTAGAAGGGACAAAACAGGCACTTAACCCTGGCAATTTGTGTGAAGCTGTCGTATGACGTTTAAATTTAGAGGACTCGAGACAAGACAGGCCCTCAACCCTGGCAATTTGTGCGTATTTCAGCCATATGACGTTTAAATTGTCGTTTTGAGATTTGATTAAGCGATCTATAAACGTCACGTCCTAATTTTGGATTATTTTCGGAGGTTAATGCACTGCTATAAATAGAGGCATACTGGATTATATGCAGTAATAGTTGGATTATTCCATGTATAGTGTAGACTTAAAACTATAAAAGCCATTGCCATGTCAGAATTAAATGATTGCAAAAAAAGAACGACAGCTTTTGCCAGACTTAAACGTTTTATATTTTAGAATCTTTTACGACTTTTATAAGCTGCATGAGGTGCCAAAAAAACCATACAACTATTCTGATACTATACCAAGTACCAAAGTACCAACCATTACCTTGCCAACCACCCCAGATGTGACTCCATTATACCTTGCTAGCCACCCCAGATGTGACCACCCCAGATGTGACTCCATTACCATGCCAACCACCCCAGACGGTGAGTTTAAATCTGACAGGTTATGGGGTAATTTCTAACAAACATCAACTCAGGTCCCCTAAAAGGCGATATTGATCAAGAAACACTCAATATTGAAATTATTCGTGGCTCTTATGTCCCACGTGATCAAAAACCTGTCAGGTTATATAAACTCCTACATAAGCTAATTTACTCAAATATTAGAGGGAATAGTCTCGCCAACACAGTTCAAATATAGAAACAGGCAAATTATAAGATGCCGAACCAATTAGAGAACTGTATCGACTATACTATAGAATTAGGTGAACCATAGAGATGATGTATTAGTAACCTGTTGACCTGGTAACCTGGTAACCAGTAGCTGTATAACACTACTAGTACTACTACATGTTCCGTACTAGTGTCCGCGAATCATAATTAGAATCCAAAATAGCTGTCTTTTTCACGTATAGCAGTGAGTAAAGTTAAAAACTTTGATCATTACATCGCATAAAATAAGCAGCACAATTCAGTCAAACAAAAATTTAAATTTTATGCCATTTATTACAATAACAAGAATTGCGCCGGTTAGCGGACGCTAGATTTCCATCAACCGTAGTGATTGCCATGCCTTTTAAAATTTGAAATTAAAATTAACGATAGTTTCATGTTGGTCAAAATATTAAATAATGGTTCTTTATTCACCATTCTTGGGGCGCTACGGAACATAAAGTGGAGGGGTTGCCATTGTCAATAGTCAAATTTAAAAAGTTAAATGACCGGACACCGTAGCCTGCACCTGTGTGGTGATATGCAGATAAAAGTCGTGAAATCCGTAGTAGGTAATCATGCAACTCATAATAACATTTATGGTCCATTTCGTATAACAAATCAAGCACTCACAACAAAACGAGAAGTTAGTATGTTGTACCGCATCATGATCAATGATCAAGTAAAGAAGAGCGTGAGCTACTTAACACATTTATAAGATTCGGGAAATCGCTTGTTATTCAAATCAATTACCATAGAATTCAAATTGTATGCTTGGCGCCGCGCATTTGAGGTGTAATTCAATCAATCGTCAAATCGTGCAAACGTATGCGGAGGGTAACCATGTCGACGACACCATAACTGCTCTGCGCGCGGACAATATACATTAAAATAACGTATGCGGAGGGTTATGCATGTTTTCCTTTGTGACACCGAACGAAAAACATACCTACCTACTATACCCATTCTCAATTCCTTCCACTTCTATACATCTTATGCCTTTTTAAAGAAAAAGACAGTTGATGTAAAAAATGAGGGTATAATAGTTCAATTTGATATTTAAAGGAACTTGAAAGCCTTATTTTATGCGTATACTACTGTACTATAATGTAAAAGACTAGTAGTGTTTGTCATTTTTTAAGTAGTTTAGATATATTATGACTATGTTGACGGGCAAAGGGGTGTGCATGCTGGGCGCCATTACTCACTAGGCGCCATTGCTGGCTGCCACTGCTCACTAGGCGCCATTGCTGGGCACCATTACTCAGTAGGCGCCATTGCTGGCTACCACTGCTCACTAGGCGCCATTGCTGGGCGCCATTGCTGGCTGCCACTGCTCACTAGGCGCCATTGCTGGCTGCCACTGCTCACTAGGCGCCACTGCTCAATAGGCGCCATTGCTGGCTGCCACTGCTCACTAGGCGCCACTGCTCACTAGGCGCCATTGCTGGCTGCCACTGCTCACTAGGCGCCACTGCTCAATAGGCGCCATTGCTGGCTGCCACTGCTCACTAGGCGCAATTGCGGGGCGCCACTGCTCACTAGGCGCCATTGCTCACTAGGCGCCATTGCTGGCTGCCACTGCTCACTAGGCGCCACTGCTCAATAGGCGCCATTGCTGGCTGCCACTGCTCACTAGGCGCCACTGCTCACTAGGCGCCATTGCGGGGCGCCACTGCTCACTAGGCGCCATTGCTGGCTGCCACTGCTCACTAGGCGCCACTGCTCACTAGGCGCCATTGCTGGGCGCCACTGCTCACTAGGCGCCATTGCTGGGCGCCATTGCTCACTAGGCGACATTGCTGGGCGCCATTGCCCATTACTCACTATACTAGGCGCCATTGCTGGGCGCCATTACTCAGTTGGCGCCATTGCTGGCTACCACTGCTCACTAGGTGCCATTGCTGGGCGCCATTGCTCACTAGGCGACATTGCTGGGCGCCATTGCCCATTACTCACTATACTAGGCGCCATTTCTGGGCGCCATTACTCAGTAGGCGCCATTGCTGGCTGCCACTGCTCACTAGGCGCCATTGCTGGGCACCATTACTCAGTAGGCGCCATTGCTGGCTACCACTGCTCACTAGGCGCCATTGCTGGGCGCCATTGCTGGCTGCCACTGCTCACTAGGCGCCATTGCTGGCTGCCACTGCTCACTAGGCGCCACTGCTGGGCGCCATTGCTCACTAGAAGTAGGCGCCATCGCTCACACACTATTCCCGAATTGCTAGTAGTATGAGCACTAATATTAGCTTATTAGGTAGTGCGCCATCAATACACAAGAGGACTATATAGTGAGCCGCGCGTGCCGACTGTAGGATGGTTTTTAACGCTAATTTCGGCCAAAAATAATTCTTGAAACAAAGGCATATTGGGTAAACTTCCCTCAATCCAATTTTAATAAAAATTTTTAAGCTTACTGATAGACTTACAAATTACAAAAAAACTTTTCGAAAACGTTGGGGCATATCCAATCATAATTAGCTCACTAATATGGGTACTGCATGAAGTGATCAAATTCACAACAGGGTTGATGGGCGACCATTTAGCTAAATTTAAGACCACAGCTGTCAGCTCTAGATATCTAGACCATAATATGTAAGACATCACGTGGCCGTTTGTGACGCGTCACGTGACCGTTTGTAACGCGTCACGTGAATGTTTCGTACAACAATATATTATTAATTATAACGTTATAAAAACATTACATGTTGATTTCTAACAAAATGCGCATCAATGACCGGCAAAATGTTTTCTGATAAACTTAAAGAATCGATTTCATTATAGTAAACTTTTGAAGTGTTAAAATTAGAGTGCCACAACTAGACTATAATAGTATTCCATCCCACTATAAAGGGCTTCTGTCAATTAACTTGAGATTTTGTTTCAATAGTTAATAAGAAATATATGATTGCAATAATTTCAGAGCTTGTCACTTACAAGACACTCATTACTGAGATTTATTGATTTCTAGCTTGTCACCATGACAACTGACAGGACTGGCATAAATGCGATCTATTAAAGTATTAACCAATGATTGAAAGGGTAATCTTTTGATTGCATGTCAAGACAAAGCCATTAGATACCTCAAAAAATGTGAAGGAGATGCTAATGTTGGCTTCTGTAGAATATCCACTATCGAAGTGAGATACAATTCCTTGAGATCTCAACCTCTTGGAGAAGAAGAATGCCATTAAATTATATATTTTTTTGTTACAAAATTATATTTGGCCTACTATATAAGCTTATAAGTTAAAAGTTTCAGGCAACTCTAATATTGGCCCTCGTTCGGCAAACATCAAATGAACAGTTGGCACACGGTAAGTGTACAATGACTGCTAGGAGCACACAAAACTCACGTAAGTTACCACTTACCATGGTGACTCTGACTCTGCAGCAGCTCCCTGTTAGCCTGCGATAGTTGAATCACACGAATTTAAAAGCAATCCACTCAGAAAGTGTCACTGAGCATCTTTATTTTGCGTTATCAGTTGAGAGGGAGAGACTATGTGATTGTGAGTATGTGATCAACAGTTATCTAGGTATCAACGAATAAGGTCTGACTCCTCAACTCC